CCTCCCCCCCCCGGATAGGGAAGGGCCATGGGCTCACCAATACCCTCCCAGACTTCCAAGGTTCCCGGGGCCATCGAACATCCATCCACGCCGAGAGGTGCCCCGCGCGAGGCGTCGCGGGGCTGGCGACTCGAAGCGTATCGAGTCGCCAGATGTCTCGACTTTGTTGGGGTCGCCAGCTCCCGACGTGTCGCCCCCCTTCCCCATGGCGGCTTATCCATCCAGGGCCGCGTGGACGGGTGGTCCCAGGGGGCCGGTGGCTGCCCCCGGGGCCCTGGTACTGCCCCCAAATCGGGAGCCTTGAGACGGGGGTCGATCTTGCAGGATCCTGCGCAGCCAGGGTAGCATCAACTGGGGCCGCGCAGGTTCCCGCAGGATTCTGCAGGATCTTGCACAGGCTGATTGACCCTGGCTTGCAGTGACCTGGTCAGTAGAAGCCCAGCCACCAAAAATCGGCGGCGAGCGAGGGGGGGAAGTGAAAAGGTGGAGGCCTTCTCAGCAGGGCGCGGGACTTCTCAGAGGCCCTCGCGCCTTCTGAGAAGCGGTTTGTGCCTTCGGGGAAGGCTTAGAATTTTTTTCCGCGGGCCGTCGAACTTCCGAGCCTTCTGAGAAGGCCCGCCCCTTCTGGGCCAGACGGAAGGGGAGGATGGGGAAAGAGAGGCTTTACGAAACCTGCTGCGTGTAGTTGGTTTCGGTCCCGCCACTGGGCCCGTTCCTCGATACATGGGCGCCTCCCCGGCGCCTCCAGCTACTTGAGCCGATTCCCTACCCTACCCTTTGCTGTCCTCGCCGTTCGTCCCCCCCCCCGATAGACGCCCGACCAGCAAAAGCAGCCGATCGAGATGGTGCGCTGCCTCAGACATGCCATCGTCACGACGTCGGAGGGCCGGTCCCCTTCGCTCGTTCCCGCTGTTGCCGGCGGTCGTCCGGGGGCTTCGGCCGGGCCGGGCGCAGGGCCACGGGATGCTGCACTCGGGGGAGACGAGAGTGGCGGATGCAGTGGAAGCCCATGCCAAGAAGCGCCCTGCTTTCCTCCAGGGTGCCCTGGGTTTCTTGGGTTTCGATGGCTTTCCTATGGAGGGCGTGGAGTTCCCAGACCAAAAGTCAATGGACGTCCGGGGGGCCTCAGGGTTGGGCTTCTTGTGGAAGGTTTCTTGTGGCGAGGACCTACTGTAGCCCAGGGGGGGAGCTATGCACGTATCCAGTAGCTCCGACGGTTTATGTTTTCGGCGAGGCCCCCCGGCGAAGATGTGTCATGCCCGCCCCTGGGCTATTCGCCCCTATCGTGGCCTCCGGTACACTTGGTACGAAAAATCAAAATGGGTACGGAATCACTGGGTACAAAGTCCAACAGCAGCAGTTCTGGTCATTCTGAACAGGTTTCGTTGTCGTCGTCGCCGCGGTCGTTGCCCACTTGAGACCGAAGGCCGCCTGCCAAACAGCGGCCGATGTCGGTTTTTGACGCATCTGCTGTTGGGCATCATGCCCATTTGTTTTGTACTGATCCTGGTCGTCCACAAGTTGGTACGGAAGGTCGCCATGGGGGTGGGTTTCCCGGAACCTACCACAGGGCTCACAGCACAGGGAGCCAATCACGGCTGCATTTGCGTCACCGCACGCACCGACCACAGGGCATTGGCCGTTTGGGCACCACAGGGCACCAGTCGTGGCACGCCCATCCCAGCCGTGCCGACCCGAGCGCACCAATGGTCGACCACGGCCCAGAGGACCAGTTCCTCACAGCGCAGGTATCGCTGGGATGTGTTTTTTTTTCTCCGGCGGGGGGCCATCGAGGAGCATCCTGGATCACCTTGCGAAAGATAGGCGCGCGAAGCCGAACAGTACACGTTGAATGGACGCCCGAGCGAGGGCTGGCCCTAGGCACAAGCTCTGTTTGGGGACCTGACGCGCGCGAGGGGCCCAGGAGGGCCAAAGGACCCGCCGCCGCGGGCCCAGCTTGGGATCCGGCTTGAATTCGCGCAGGGGCGCCTCGGTGAAACTCGACTGCGTCTGCGGCGGGCTCTTGCTCGTCTTTGCTTGCTGCTGGTTCTGCGTGAACAACGTGACGCCTTCGGTTCGACCTTGTCCTGGCCAGCAGGTCTCAAGCCCAGATGGCTCCTCCCACCAGTATCCGCACCTGCGGGAAGTACGGTATCGTGGATGCCTTCTTGAACGGTTGGGAGCGTGTATGTGTGTGCTCCACTGAAGGAGCCTACAAACATTGCTTTGGGCCTTTGCCGAAGAAGGGAAAACATATGAACATAAACTTTCGGCGCTCCGCGCGGAGTTCTCGGATCCGCGCTGGGACCCCCTGGCGGCGCCTCCAACGCCGCCACTGGCGCGCTCCGCGCGCCAGGGAGGCGGGCCCAGCGCGAATCCAAGAAATCCGCGCGGACCGTCGAAAGTTTATGTTTATCTGTTTTTGCTCTGCCTCTGCCTTGCAGGGCTGGACCTAAACGGTGTTCTGGCGATTTCGTGGGCCGTTTTCGTTTCGATCTCGTCTTGCGGTGAAGGCGGATTGAAGACAACATCGAGGGAACACGAACACACAAAACGGAAACGAACAACGCCGTTTGGGTTCCGCCCTGTTGCCTTGGGGGTTCTCTCTTTCCCCCCCCCCCCGCCGCCGAGGCCGCCCTGTCGCTGCTCCGCAGCCCGCTGCTCGCGGGGCCCGACCCCGGCCCGGCGCTTCGCGGGGAGGAGCTCGGCGGCGACGACGAGGGCGAGCAGCCCAAGGGGCGGGCGTTACCCTGGGATACCCCTGCGAGGGAGGGGAGGGCGAACAGCCCAAGGGGCGGGCGTTACCTTGGGATACCCTCGTACCGCCCGCCCTTGCAGGGTAACCTTGATTGCAGTCAACCCGCATAGTAAGGATGGACAACCTTCCCAGGGGGGCCCCTGCATCCTTGCCTCCTCGGTCCATCCTTGGCCACCTTCGTTGGCCGCGCCCCGCTCGAGACGCTTCGAAATGGGCGTCCAAGGCCCTTGCATCCTTATTGCGGGGGCGGGCATTACACGCATTCGCCCAGGAGCCTTGTCGAAGACTATGATGTTCCAACCGACTTTCGCCTTGATCACCAGAAAGAACTTCGAGTACCAAAGAATAGTACCGCAACTCTGGGGTTTTCGCGTCTCGGGCCCTGGGAGACACTCGTCCGACTCTGTTTCGACGCCGTTTCGACGCTCTTTCGACACTTTTTCTGGGTGCACGAAAGTATTTCTTGGATGTGGCCCTCAAGTGCGATGGGAGCAACTTAAAGCCGAAGACATTGATCATCGACGCCCCTGGATGTGTGTGTTGCCCCGCCCTGGGCTCTTGGGCTATTCGCCCCTGTCGTCGCCTCCGGGAGGAGAGATCATCGGCGCCCCTGGATCTATGTATTGCTCCCCCCTTGGGCTCTTGGGCTCTTCGCCCCTGTCGTCGCCTCCGAGGAGGAGGAGCGCCTCCGCCGCCACGGCGGCGCGCGCCGCGCCACCGCGGCGGAGCGCCCCCGTGCCGGGGCGCCCGCCGCCGCGGGCGACGGCGCCTGGCCGGCGTACGTTAACCGGACGCTGCCGGTGGTGAGCAGCTGGCAGGCGGGCGGCGCCACGGAAGCTCGGCAGCGTGGAACCGACTTTGTGCCAGGAGGAGAGCAAATCTGTTCGATTTCGCGGGTCGAGGGCGCACCTCTTCCGGTCGAGGCTAAGCGGGCCGCGCACAGCTTGAGTTAACAGAGAGGAGGGGCAGAAGGAGGGGCCTCAGGGAGGGGCCTCACGTCAAGGCCGGAGGGGGCAAAGCCCCCAGAGGAGAAAAAACACACAGACACAATGAATCGTCGAGTCCCAGGGAAATCCGGGAAAACATGGGAAGTGGGGGGGCAGACGAAGGCCCCGAAAAGATATGGGAAAGTGTAGAGGGGACTCCTGGGATCTGTGTGTTTTTTAGGTGTGTGTCCTAGGGCCCCTTTCCCTTTGTTCCGAGGGGCCTCGTCGTGGCTGCAGGCGCTCGGTCGCGCCACCGTACGCGCGGCGCGCCGGGTCGCGCCGGGGCGCCTTGGTAGAAGGCTGGCGGTTTCCCAGGGGCGGCCTGCCCTCGGCATCGGTGAACCGATGCCCGGCCCCATCCACACCCAGACGTGATGGCGTCGTAAAAGATTCAGGGCGGGAGGTTTTTCGTTAGTTTCGGCCTTCGGGGGCCCTCGCCGGGCCTCGGGACCGTCAAAAAACGACTCAGGACGAAAAGAACGTCCGGGGACAGGGTCGGGACTTGCGGGGACGCCGTCCTGAAAAAATCGGGACGTCGCATGTCTGGGTATCCTCTAAAGCTATTCGCGGCCCGCCTAGCTTCGACCGGAAGAGGTGCGCTCTCGACCCGCAGACCAAAAAAGTCTGGGTATCCTCTTCGAGACCCCCACCAAATAACCCCCCAGTTGGGGATGCGCCCCTCGAGGCCCGAAGGGATATCGGCCGATATCCACATCTGGGGGGGGCAGATCGGCCAGCGGGGCCCAGGCCACGCCGCTGGGGATGGGGATCGGTTCAACGATACTCAACAGAAGTCGAAGGAGCCAGAAAGAGAAACTTTTGGAGCTCCGCGCGGATTTCTTGGATCCGCGCCGGGGCCCGCCAGCAAATATCGAAGAAGAAGATGCGCCAGAAACAGAAAGTGTTGGAGCTTGCGCGGGTTTCTTGGATCCGCGGCGGGGCCCGCCGACGGCGCCCCTGGCACCGTCCCTGGCGCGCTCCGCGCGCCAGGAGGGGGGGGGGGTCAAGCGCAGGTCCCAGACATCCGCGCGGAGCGCCAAGAGTTGATGTGCATGCCTCTTTCGACCGACATGGGCGCGTGGGCTGCCCGCGCAAGGTCGCGCGTGGGCGCCCCAGGTTTCAGTGTGGCGCGCCGCGCTGGCGGCCCGCGCGAGCCACCGCGTACTTGAGGTCGAGGTGCCATCTCGCGTGAGGCCCTCGTTCTCGTCGTCTCTCAGGTGAGGCCTCCGCGCCACAGCGACCGCGCCGTCCTCACCATGGTGCAGGCCCTGGACCCCAAGGAGGCAGACTTCGTGGCCTACGTGGTCCGAGCGAGCCTCCGCCGGCTCGGGCCCCGCTGGGCCCTCCTGGTCCTCTACGGGCGGGATGCGGACCGCGACGCGCTGCACCTCAAGCTCGGCTCGCCCGACAGCGTGCACTGGCTGCCCATCGTCCTGGACGGGGTGCGGAGGCACGAGGTCCTGTATAACGAGATGGCGTGGTTCAGGGTGAGCCTCGACTTCTGGGAGTCGGTGCCCGCGGAGTTTGAGCACCTGCTGTTCCTCGAGGGCGACAGCATGGTCCTGAGAGGGCACGGCTGCGTGGAGAGCTTCCTCGACTTCGCGTACGTGGGCGCTCCCTGGAAGGACGGCTTGGGGCTGCCCGCGTTCGGCGGCAACGGGGGGCTGTCCCTGCGCCGGAGGAGCCTCTGCACCGCAGCGGTGGCGCACTGGCACGCGGCCAAGACGCAGGCAGAGCGCCGGCGTGAGTTCAATATGATGGGCCCGTCTTCCACCACCACCACTATACAAGTAGGAGGGGGAGGGGGTCCTCCTCCTCCTCCTCCTCCTCCTCCTCCTCCTCCTCCTCCTCCTCCTCCTCCTCCTCCTCCTCCTCCTCTTCCTTCCCCCCTCCAACTTATGATGGTGGTGGTGGTGGTGGAAAACAGGCCCATCATAGTCTGGCGATGGGGGAGGACGTGCTCACCTGCCGGCTGCTGCAAGACATGGGCCAGGCCTTCCCCAGCCCGGCGGCGCCGCCGAGGGGTCGGGGCGCGAGGGGGGCGGTTTTCTGTCAGGAGGGGGGGAAAAAACAGACACAATTCATCGTCGATTCCCCAGCCCAGAAAATATGTGGAAAATATTTATCAAGTGGGGGGGCATTACAAAAACCCAGAACACGTGGGAAAATATGGGGAACCGTGTTACTTGTGTCTGTCTCGTTGTGTGTCCCAGGGCCCCTTCACTCTGGGAAGGCGGAGGGCGCGTGTTCTCAGGCGGCAGGGGGGCCCCTCTCCGAGAGCCCCATACGCAGCGGCTTCTACGAGAAGCCGGGCGGGCTTCCAGGGCGCTCCCTCTGCGTGCCGAGGACCCCGCCCGCCTTCTTGTGGAGGGCCGCCCCCCGCGCACCGAGCCCTCGTGGGCGCCGCCAGCCGGCCGCGAGTCCGCCGCAAACTTCTCTGTGGAGACCGTGTACCGCCCGGGGCCCTGCGGCTTCCACAAGCCGTGGGAGTGGCTCCCGCCGCACGCGGTTGCGGACCTGTTCGCCAGCGCCGAGATGGGCTGATGCTGGGCGCGAGGGCGGAAAACGATGTCGTCTCCTGTTCACTCCGGCTGGAGGGCGGAGGACGAGCCAGGTAGCCCGGAAGGGGGTCCGATAGAGCCACAGTTCGGGCCCCCATGGCTTGGGCCGCACAAGTCTCCCAGGGGGCCGCGCTCGCGCACGACTTGCGCTCAAAGACAGCCGCTCGAGGCAGCGCGAGTCGCGAAATGTGGTGACGCAGATGATCCGGGGCAACTTCAGGAGAGGATCGTCGCCGATTCATCGCCGGTAGGGGCCCCATAGCCCACATCGCCCAGGAGCATGCGGAGTCGCTATCGGGGGCCTATCGCAGATCTGTCGGCGATCTATCGCCCACTACCCTGAGCGGGCTCCCCCCTGGCGTTGCCCCTCCGATGAGGGTGGGGAGGAGGAACGCCTCGGCTCTGGCCAGCGGGCGTCGATTCCAATGCCTTCAGTCTGCCCACCGAGCCCTGCCGCTTCGATGTGCTCCGATGCTGGGTAGTCTCGGAGGGAGGAGGAGGAGGAGGAGGAGGAGGAGGAGGGAGGAGGAGGGAGGAGGGAGGAGGAGGAGGAGGGGAGGGGGAGGGGGAGGAGGAGAGGAGGGAGGAGGAGAGGAGGAGGAGGAGGAGGAGGAGGAGGAGGAGGAGGCGGAGGAGGAGGAGGAGGTGGTGCACCGATCCGCGCTGAGATCCCGGAGCCGGCAGGGGCGCGAGCGCCGGGGGGCATCTGGCCGCAGTGAGCACGCGCCCTGGCATGCACGGCTGCGGCACCACCGCGAGCGTTGCGGAACGAGACTACGTTGGGGTACAGTTTTCAGCTCGCTGAGGGGCAGCGAACGCGATCTGTGTTTCTGGGGCGACGGAGGAGGAGGCAATGCTCGTAGGGTAAGAGCAAACCTAAGCAGCCCAATCGTTGGTAAGAGTAAACCTAAGGTCCGAACTTGTCGCGAATGGGTGTCGTAAGAATTGTTATTGGCGGATCAATCACGCTGTCTGAGCGTATTGGGATCTGGCCCTGGTAACAACGCTGCCCCCCAAGCGACCTCCAAGGTACAGTCACGACGGTGAAGTAATGACCTCCGTTGGGTGCGGCTGGGGCTCGCTGTGCCTCAGCTCGCTCCGCGGTCTGCTCCTCCCGTCCTCGGGTTCGGGGTGCCCGCGCGGGTCGTCCTCGGCGACTGGGGCCTCCGAAGTCCCAAAAGCGGTGCGGTGACTGACCCTGCGGTGAGGTGGTCGGGGGAGTCCGAGGTCACCGCACGGCCTGTCACCGCCCCGTGTCGGGACCCCTGCGGAGGGGAGAGGAGGGCGACGGTGATGCAGGAAGAGCCTGCAGTGGGCCAGTCGCAGGCGCGCGAAGGAAGCCGCGCCTCGCGCGGCGCGGCTGGGGCCGCAGAGTTGGTCCTCTCCCGAGGGGGCGCGCGAGGGCGCGAAGGCAGCTTTCCTCGTCGCAGCGCGGAGCGCGAGGGCACGGGGCGAAGAGCAGCACGCGGTCTGTACTGTCGGCCTCCTCCAGCTGCGGCGCGCATGCGCGCGCGATCTCTCTCTCTCTCTCTCTCTCTCTTTCTCCCACGCTCACTGTCCCTCACGCACTCCATTGTCTCTGTCTCTCTCTCTCTCTCTTTCTCCCACGCTTTCTTTCTCTCTCTCTCTCTCGCACTCTCTCTCTCTCTCTCTCTCCCTCTCTGGCTCTCTCTCTCTCTCTCTCGCTCTCTCTCCGGTTGGGGCTCGCCGCGGCGCGTGGGCAGAGCGAGGGAGAGAGAGAGAGAGAGAGGCAGAGACGGCGATGGACAGGCGAGGACTGCAGTCAAGACTCTGGAGTGGGGGCCGCTTCGGGCTCAGGAGAGGCTCCTAGTGTTGGGGCCCAGATCTAGTGTTGGGGCCCAGATCTAGGTCGGGGAGCCGATTCGAAGCCGAGGCTCGCCGTGGCAAGAAGCGCCCCTTCGGGCAGGGAGAGAGGGGCAGGGAGCAGAGTGCTTGCGTACTGCTACTGACTGCTCGGGCGGTGACGCTCCCCTCTGACTCTAGCCTTCCATCTTTAACTCCAGCTTGCCGACACGTCGTAAGACTACCTCTACGCGTATAATAAGGCCTGGTTCGACGGCAAGTCATCGCCATCATCATAGACCTGATTTGATCGTGTACAGGATACCTCTACACTACCCTTCACCTTGCACCATCTACCAGCTACCCTCTAGCACTGCTTTGCTTCTCAGGGTGCCCGTAGGTGCCGAGCGACAACCTCGCCTGCCGGGCTTCTGGGCGGAGGGTTCTGCTAAAGCCTGAATGGCTTGCATCGATAGCGACGGGGAGGCAGGACATATTCGAGGGCGTCGTAGCGGTTTCGCATCGCATCGTGTCGCGTCATCTACCTGTTTTCTTTCACCTCCATCCCACAGAGGCCATTTCGATCCGATTCGATATCGACTTGGCCGGGCCGATTCGATTCGATTCCGATATTCCGACGACTCGATACGGCCAGCTGCTTGCACGGCGTTGTTGTGCATCCTCGCGCGGCCGACCAGACCCCACGTTCCGACGCCATGCCGCTGCAGCCCGATCGGGGGCGCTCATTCCGATTTGATCAGAGCTCCCGCTTCGATGTTGACTGATCTTGGCCCGCTCCCCACCCCCCCGCGGCCTGCCCCCTCCAGAGCGTTCCGGGACGCCCTCACAGCGTTCTGGAACGCTCCGGGAAGGCCGCGGCGCCCAGGACATTATCCAGAGCCACCGGATCTCAGAGGTGATCGATCTATCCTCACCCGAATTTGCCCTCGTCTTGGCTCCTTATTGTGCAACTCTTGTGAGTTCAAATTTCACCACTGGTTAAATCCACCCTAATCCCGTCTTCCTGTGCTCAGTCCAGCTCACTCCGGCTTAATTAGTCCTTGGTTGAATGCGGTTCGATCCGGCCTAATGGCCCTTTCATCGGCTTTTCATGCGCGATAGCAAATCATGGGAGCTTTGTATGTTTTCGGAAGTCAGTTTGTTCAGTGCAGTATATGAGAAAGCCCCGATTCCGCGTCGATGAGCGTCGAATCCGCGCCGACTTAGCGTCGATTAGTAGCGTCATTCAGCGTCGGCCAGCATCGATCCGCAAGCGCCGGCAAGACGGCATGGGCCATGGGAGGCTCCCAGGAGCTGCCGCAGAAGAAGGCCCAATGGCCCGTCAGTCGGGCTGCACGGCCCTCACGCGTTCCCACGGAGGCCTCCCGGGAGTTGCCTCCTGACCACCGCGGCGCGGTGTGCCGGTGCGAGCGGCTCCCCGCCAGGTGCCTCGGCGAGCACGCCGAGCATGCCCACGCTGCTGGGGCGCCACCGCTAGCGCAGGTGGCGCGCGGGCGCAGGACGTCAGCCATGGGGCAGTACAGTCCTCGAGCAGGAGGATCGACGAGGGTCTGGGAGGATGGAGGGATCCGAAGACGAAAAAATGCAAGCCACGCGCGACCACGAACTTGTCGGAGCTCCGCACGCATTTCCTGGATCTGCGCTGTGCCCCGCTGGCGACGCCTCCGGCGCCGCCCTCGGCGCGCTTCACGTGCCATGGAGGGGGGTCCTTGGGGGGGGGGGAGATTGGGGGGGGAGGGGTCGCGCACGCCTAGAGACCCACAAAGGGTCGGCGGATGACGTGATCAGCATGAGAAGCCCACTGATGCTCGGAGATCTGGCGACTCCCCACATGAAGTGGCGAGACACCTGTGCGAACGCAGACGCCACTGGTCGACTCCTAGATCGGCTTCCTCGGAAGGACAGCGCAGGCGTGTAGCTTTAAGCTCCATTGTAAATCTATACCGGGGACCGGAGACTTGGTCAGAGGGGGGGCTTTTTGAGCGGATCTTCGTTGGGAGGAGGACGGCGGGCGCGGGCTATCCGCCAGCTCCGATCTTGGCCAGGCCCATCTTGGGTCCAGGATCGATGTCTGCGCCCTGGTGACTAGGCTCATGTACCGACCTTGGGCCCACGGTCGGTGTCGGCGCGCAGTTTGGAAGCACGCTTTAGGAGTTTTTTCTCTTCCGGCAATTTCAGCTTTGCATCAGCTTGGAAGCGGCGGTGTTGATGCCTTGATGCGCCCCAACTGGTGACTCCCGCCCTCCGCGCGGATATCGGGTTCTACTCGATCGATCCGGCTGTGCAAGCAATTCTGTCTGCCTGCGATTAGGGCTGGAGGAGGAGCTGAGGAGGGAGGGATTCGGAGCGAAGAGGCGAAACGAGGAGGAGTGTTGACGGGAAGGAGGAAGCATGATGAGAAGAGTGGGAGAGGTGCAGGGAGGAGGATGTTGAGGGAGGAGGCTCGAGGAGCACGGCGAGCAGCCGAGAGCCAGGAGCGACCTAATCCTCAGGGGAAGGGGAGGGGCAGGAGGGCCTGCTGCGCCCGTGCGGCGAGCAGAGGCCAGACGACGGCGACCCTCCTCCTCCTCCTCCTCCTCCTCCTCCTCCTCCTCCTCCTCCTCCTCCTCCTCCTCCCCCTCCTCCCCCTCCTCCCCTCCTCCTGCTCCTCCTCCTCCTCCTCCTCCTCCTCCTCCTCCTCCTCCTCCTCCTCCTCCTCCTCCCCCTCCCCCTCGCCCTCCCGAGGCTCGCCTCCGCGCCGCTCTGCCCCGGGGAGGAGCGGGCGGGCGGACCTCTTGCGGGCCCGGCGGCGTGCGCGGCCCTCGGCCTGCCCCGCCTTGCTCCGCTTCAGTCGAACGTGTCCCCCTACAGGGGGATTCTAGACGAAAAATAACAAATACCCAAAAAATAGTCAAAACATGGTCCAAAAATTCTCTGGGGACTATGTTGACGGTATTTTTTGATGTTTTTGGAGCATGTTTGGGGTGTGTTTAATTTTTCCTCGAAAATCCCCCTGTATGGGGATACGCCCGACATAATGCTCCGCCTCCCACCATGCCGAGTCCAGGCCGAGGGGCGCGGCGCCGCGCGGCAGCGCTGGTCGCGGGCCCGACCAACGCGGGGCGACCGGGGGCCCATGCTGCGCCCTTTGTGTGTGGCCTCGGGGGGCACGGGGCGGCCCACCTGTGACTCCCGGCGGCCCACCACGGGGCCCGACTCGGCCGCGGGTGCCCATCGCTGGCCCGAGCGGGGCCGAGGCTCACGGCGACGCGGGCCCGACGGGTTCGGATGCAGATCTCCGCCGCGCGCGGGGGTTCCTGTGATCTCGGTCTTGGTCGGCGCCTGGGCAAGTATTGCCGACCACTGCGGCCCGCGGCCTTACGGGGGATCCAGAACTTGTGGCCTTCAAGAGCCAACGGCCACACTGCCTCCAAGGGCGGGCGGTTGGGGTGCGGGGCCGACAGCGACGGGGGTCCTGAAGAAGAGGAGGAGGACGAGGTCGACGGGGACGGCGGCAGCATTGGCCGTTCACGAGGCCTGAGCAGGCGCGGTGGCTTCTTCCTGGACATTCGCGCCTACAGGCTGTGGCACGCGGGGAATTCAAAGTCGAGCATGATGGTTTCGTCCGAACCAAGCGGTCTGGTGCAAGTCGCTCGAGATGCTCGCGAGGCATCTCGGCAACGTTTGCCCGACACAGAGCGGGGTCCGAGGAGGCCAGGCCGCCTCGGCTCGTCTGTTGCCGCCTGTCTCCCGTGCCTCAGCTGATGGGTGATCTTCCGCTCCAGCATGGCGGCCGCCGACGTGTGAGACTTCACGCTGTGCATTCCCGACCCCCGCCAGAGTCGAAGAAGAAACAAACGTTCTAAAAGCATACACTTTGGGCGCTCAGTTTGCTCGGATCCGCGCTGGAGCCCCCCCAGCGGCGCCTCCGGCCTGGCCCCTGGCGCGCTGCGCGCGCGAGGGAGGGGGATCCAGCGCGGATCCAAGAATTCCGCGCGGAGCGCCAAAAGAGTATGTTTATATGCAATAATTCGTCTGTCCCAAACCCCTCCAGAAGACAGCACATCACGCCCAACCACATCACCCTCGGGACAGCGATGGGTGCATATGGATAAGATCAGGGTTGCGCAGCCTTCGCCATCCCAGACTGTATGTTCGGTAGCTCCGCTGAGGCGACGACGTGCAAGCACCAATGCAATCACCGATAGACGCTGATCAGCTGACCGCGCGGAGCCCAGGAAACGGCTGCATCGCCTGTCGAGGTCGCAACGTCAGGTGGAAGCAATAGCGGTTGGCCTCTCCACCAACATGAATGCACGACATTTTACATGTAGCATCGGAATCGCGCTTGCGGCGCTGTTCCACCGATCTGGGTAGGGGAACGTACGTCGAGAACAAAACATCTGGCGCCTGAGGCCCCCCTGCTGTTCATTTTCGGTCTTCCCCGCGTCAAGGCTGGACCGAGGCGCTCGCGCCTCCCAGGTTGGGTGGCGGGGCACTCGAGTCCTCCTTGGAAACCTGTCCTAGGACAGCTCTCACAGGCCCTGGAAGTTCCAGGGAGCTCAGGGCGGCGGCGGGATATCCTGAATTGCGGCCACCATGCATTGGCGACCGGCGATGAAAAGGGCAAGCACGACGGCGGCTCGTCGAGACCCCCGTCTTCCGTGAGCTTGAGGGACAGGCTTCGATGATTCGGTCCCCAGGTTGCGAACCCGACCAATCCACGGAAGCTTCTTGATGGGCCTCCTCTGTTCTTGCAAGTGCCAGCCAAGCATAGCTGGCGACCAGCTTTCGGCGAACGGGTGCAGGAGAGAGCCCATCAATGCGCCGCGGGTGCTGAAGATCATCAGCTCCAGTGCGCGCCGCGGCGTCCAACTCCCGCCCCCTGCGATCGAGGGCGTGGAGGGGGCGCCAGGGGCTGGCGAACCCATGGGGGCTAGGCTTCGAACTAAGCTCCCGGAAGCAAGACTCGAGCGTGTAACCGCGCTTGTTTAGACCGCCAGCGCAGAATCCCGGATTGCAGCGGATGTGATCACGAGAAGCGGGTTTCGTTGGCGCTGTTTTGGATCGGGTGGGAATTTGAAGCCCGCGTCGCCGTACCAGCCTGGGCCGATGTTGCCGCCTGCGTTCCCAGTCCGCACATTGCCTGCACAGAGCTGGGTCCAAGAGGGTTGCTGCCATCGTGGTCGGCAGTGGCCATATCGCCTCCAGTCTGCTATGCCAGGGCACTGCATCGTTGGGCCACCTGCTCGACATTGGCCTCCCAGATATTATCACGGCCTCGCTTCCACGATTTCTTGTTGCAATTGCGTGTGTTTCTCGCGCTGTGTGACCACGCATTCCACTGCACGTCGACTTCGCGGGTCGCACAGTTATCAGCTCGTGCGCAAAGCATCGTTGATTCTCTCCTTGTCTGTGCGCTCATGCTCGTACGACTTGTCTGGTCCTTTCTCTGTGGCAGAAGCTTGATCTCTCAGAGTTTGAGAGGGAACCTCCACCTCCACCACCGCCTGGTCCTGTTTCCCATCACGCGTGGCAATGGTACAGAGGTGTGTGGCGGTGCCAGTGCTGCCTCCGCTTTAAGCGGCATGGTAGCGACTGTCCAGTAGGGGGAGGCGCCTATGAGGTTGAGCCGCTTACTGCTGGTTGTACTGGGGAGCCTCCCGCTACTGTCACGCAGACGTCTGCTCGTGGCAATTGCCTTTGGGCGTTGCACTGCTCTGAAGGCTCGCAGCTCTTTATCCGCCTCTGCTGCAAGGCTTGTACCTGTTTTGGTCAGGTTCGGCGGCTGCGACACCAGAGCGATCCGAAGCGCGCAGGCAGGAATGACACCGCTAGGTTTGAGAGGGTCGAGCGTTGCTTGCACCACGAGCTCGATGATGGCGCCGTCGAGCTTCTTCCGCCTGAACCTTTAGATGACGATGCTCCGCCTGCTGCTGCTCCCTGCGCCGACGGGGAGAGGCGGCAGCTTCGTCGCGTCGTTAATGCGTCATGACGGAGAGGACTCTCTGCCACGCGTCTCGCCAGTCGCGGTCGCTGGCAATGACAGCTACAACTGGCCGCGTCGCGTTTCTTTTGCCGGGCTGTCGCTGCGCTCTGTTCGGCACGCCAGAGGGTTCCCTCAGTGGTCTGCCACCTGAGCTTCCACCCTGCATCTTGTCTCATCTGTTTGAACAGTGGGAAACCGACCCCAGCCCCCACAAGTGCGGATTTTGCAGGTCAGCGTCTTGCATTGATGGCGAATGTGCGCAAGTGTAGGCGCCTTGTCTGCGAGACCATTGCGCGATAGTAGGAACAGTGTTCCTGCTATCGTGCTGCCCTTGGTGCTGCATCCGTGGGCAGTACTGCACGGCCAGCTGGGCCGCGCATGCCGCCGTAGCTCTGCCTGTGGCGAGGAGGGCACGCTGCCGGCTCTGCCGCCTGCTTGGTCCGCGGGTTGCCGGGTGCCCCCTGGGCCGTTCTCGGATGCTCTTGGCACGCTGGCGGAGCGGCCCCCTTCTCTCGCCAGGAGTCCGCCTTCCGCCACCCACCAAAGCACCCCAAAGCCCAACCCGCACGCTTCAGTCTGCCATCCCTTTCCAGTGGTGGTGGTGGGGGGGGGAACATTGAGCAGAAGCACACATGGAGCCCATGCCCCCCCCGACCCGAAGTCCGGGCCCCTGCGGGTTGGGTTGGGGCGGTCCGGTATTAGGCCCTCCGCCTCGAGGGCGCTCTCTCCGCGCACCGCTTGGCACCCGGCGGCCCGCGCTCGGTCCTCCTCGGCCGCGGGCCCTATGGGCCCTCGTCGGGGTCCTCGGCCGGTGGCTGCCGCGTCCTGCCGCCGCCCGGGGTCGGCCCGGTCAGGGCCGGGCCTCCCTCCCTCGCGGTCCAAGCGACGGCGGCTGGAGGAGGAAGCGTCGTACGACCTGCACCGCGGCTGCCGACGTGCGGCCTCGCGCTGCGGCCCCAGGGTTAGGGTGCAGCAGGAGCTCGCCGCCTCCGTGCGTACCGGCGCGGTGATCCGAGCCCCGGGGCAGACCAGGCCGAGGGGACGAGACGTGCCGCGGGAGAGTTGTATCCCCCGCCTGGAGGCTGGACAGCCTCCCCGGGAGAACTCTCGAGCGAGAGGAGGAGCGAGGGGGAGGAGTGGGGGGCGGAGGGGGGAGAGTGGGCGGCGGAGCGAGGGGGGAGTGGAGGGATGCGCGAGGAGGAGCAAAGGAGTGAGAAGCCTGGAGGAGCGTGGAGGGGCAGGAGCCCTCTGCACCCCCGTGGGGCACAGGGGCCGCCCTCGTCGCCAGCCCCGCCCCCGCGGCGGCGGCGGCCCGCGGCGGCCGGGCGCCCTGCCGCCGCCCCGTCTTTTTTGTTAGCTAGCCGTAGGAGTTGAGAGCAGGCCCCGGCAGGGCCGCGGGCGCGCGGCAGACGCCGGGGGGGGGGGCGGCTCCGCTGCCCTCTGGGGGCCCTCCTCCTCCTCCTCCTCCTCCTCCTCCTCCTCCTCCTCCTCCTCCTCCTCCTCCCTCCTCCCCCAAAGGCGAGCCAGCCCCCTCCTCTTCCTCCCTCCTCCTCCTCCTCCTCCTCCTCCTCCTCCTCCTCCTCCTCTTCTTCAACGCCGGGTACTGCAGTGAAATCCGATGCTCGTCTGGGGGACCTTCCTGGGGCCCACCTGGCGGATCTGTTCAACTCCAGGTCGATTCAAGTTCCATTCGAGCTCGACTCAGGATCGACTCGGGCTCAACTCGGGCTCGACTCGGGTTCGCCTCGGGTTCGGCTCGAGTCGACGCACGTTCGACGCAGCTTCGACGCACGAGTGGAGCGAGTGGCTCCAAGGTCCCCAGATACGTGGACGCCCACGCCAAGAAGCACCCTGCTTGCCTACAGGGTGCCCTGGGTTTCTTGGGTCTCGGTGGCGTTGCTGTGGAAAGCGCGACGTTACCACACCAGAGACCAGTGGACGTCCTGGGGGTGGTGACCACACCGTGTGGTGAGTCGGTGGGGATTCGGGATCACCGAACGGTTTTGGGACCCAGGTCGTTCTCCGAGGACGTCTCGGGCGCCTGGGGCATCCGAGGCCCCAAAAACCGTGCGTTGACGGACCGTGCGGTGAAGTCCTGGAGATTTCGAGGTCACCGCACGGTCTGTCCCCGCACCGGTTCGGGACTCCAAAACCAGGGTTGGGTTTCTCGTGGAAGGTTTCTGGTGCTCGACCTCCTCCTGTGGGCACGGGCGCAGGGGGGGAGGACGCACCGACCCCCGACGTCGCCCACGCATCGCCGGCAGGGGCCCGACAGCCCACCCTGCGCAGGAGCATGCGGCTTCGCCGCCGGGGGCCGATTCCAGCTCGATGTTCCCCCCCCCCCACACACACCTCTGGCGTTCAGTCGGGCCTGTCCTCCTGCAAAGGGATTTCGGATGAAGAATTAGAAATAGTCAAACAATACCCCCAAATTGGCAAAAAATACGTTTCAAAAAAGGAGTTTATTTTAGACTATTTTTTGCATATTCCTCCTGTAGAGGGGCACGCCCGACTTTACTCTGGCTCTGCCGGTGGGGGCCCATCTGCGTGTTGTTTCTGTGGTCGTCGTCAGAAGGCCGGCCTCTCCTTCAGTGGCGCACAGATGGGGTTCCTCACTGCGGCTTGTCGTTGATATTCTTGCTGTTCCCTCCGTGATCGCGCTTAGCGCGTCGCGGCGTGGGCAGGAGAGCTGGACTTCTCCAGGACGGCGGCACGAGGGCGCGAAGGCGGCGCCGCGCATCGCAGGGCGCGAGGCATGGGCGGCCCAGGGGATCGCGGATCGAGACCTGGGCTTGACATCGAGGAGGGCCGGCAGACGCTTGCGGAAGTACAACGGCGTCTCGTCTGCCGGCGGAAGCTTGGTGGAAGTCGGCGGGAGGAAACGTAAGGCGTCAACAGGTTTGGATTCAGTGCTTCCAGAATTGGCCAGCTGCCGTCTGTGAGGCCGAGGGGTGGCAGCTCAGAACACAGAGGGCGAATCCACGCGTCCGTGTTGGTGTTCTGCTCTGGGCGGGACGCGCGGGCTCCAGACCTGGTCTCGACCTCGTCCGAGTGCTCCACGCCTCTGTCGTAGGGGGCGCGTGCGGATGAAGTCGGGCGGGCCCAGGACTGGGACACGTCGTGCGAGAGCGTTCCGGCACGCTCCCGGCCAGGCCGATGCTGTCTTGGCCCTGGCTTCGTCTCAGCGTTCGGAGGTGAACAGACCTCCCACCCTGACACGTCGACTCAGGAATTGGCCGTTTTCGGTTCGCGAGAGGGCGTCGCGGCCGCCACTTTTGCGGGTCCAGGTCCGTCGGTTTCGGTCCCAGGCCGTGTTCACTGAGTAAAGGGAGGTTTGTCCACCGCCGAAGCGTGTCTGTAAAAGGCCCAGGGTTTCGCCTTTTGCTCACCCGGCCCAGTCCACTAAGACATGCTCCCCAGCAGCTGCCTCGCCCGTGACCCTGCCGAGTCGCCATCGCCGCCTGTCTTTTTCGCGCCCCCTGCTGGGCGCGGACGCTACGGCCACAGAGCGGCTAAGATGCAGAATTCGACGCCGCTGCAAAAAGTCGGGGCTGCCTCGGGGGAGGAACGGGTACCAACATCGCTGCCCTTCCGTTGTCGCTACCGCTGGATCCGCTTCGAAATCTTGGTAGACTCGCTTCGAACCTTGGAGGGGTCCAAGGGGTACCGTTCTGTTGCTTCCCCACTGCCTGCGTCAGGGTTCGGAGAGGGATGGAGGAGAGGGGGGGGAAGAGAAGAGTCTGCATGGAAGAAGGCGGGAGCGCCGGAGAGGGAACGGGGTGCCCTGCAGGCGATCTCCAAGGGTTCCTTGAGAAGTCTGGGACAGGGGGGAAGGTGGAGAAGAAGGAGCTCGAGGGAGAGCAGGAGTTTGAGGAGGAGGAGTGGAGTATGGTAATTGCGTGCGTATGGTCCTACACTATCGGCTTTATCCGGTCTCCTGCCTGGGGCAGCACCGGGCGCCCGTGAAAATCGTGGCCATTCGGCCGAAGACTCACACTGCGATGCGATTGCGTTCTTCCTGCGCCTCGTAGTCCCCTTCTGCCGCGTGCCCACTCTCGTGACGTGTAGTCGACGTGACTCTAGGCCTCCGAGATGGGGTCGAAGTAAATGGGGTCGGTGGCTCGGTATAAACGACGCATGGCGATGCGGTTAGATGCCGAGCCCGATTTTCTCCACGCCGACGGCGCCGATGAACCGCCGACGTCGCCGATGCATCGACGATACATCGCCGATGTATCTTCGAAGTAATGGCGATGCGGCGCGATCCTCCGACCCCATCTACTCGGACCCATTCTATCTTGGAGGCATCTAGTGACCTCGGGCACAGGTACTTATCGTCGCCTTGTCTTTGCAGTTGAGAGTTCAGAGAAGTTGATTCGTTCCTGCGGGCCGCTGGTGCTGCTTACGGGGCCGCACCGATAGTCGTCGTGGCGGGCGCTGGTGCATGCGGGCGCATCCCGCGCATGACTGGCGAGTCCATGTGCCGAAGACTGCATAAGCCACTACCGTGCAACGCCACCTCCTTCATCCTTGCTTGTATTGTTGAACGCATGGCCATACCGTGCTTTTCTCAAGGCCCTGCCCGAACCAGTTATGTGTTGCATGACACTGCCTAGAGGGAGGCCCCTCCAGTACGACACGTGAATTTGATGTCAACACGTCGACGCTGTTCCTGATTCCCTGACAGCGTTTTGTTGGAGTTGTCAATAGTGGTGAAAAGGACCACGGAGGAGCTCCACGGAAGGGATGGAGAGCTCTAGACCGCCTGGTCTGGCTGCCGTTTCGCCTGAGCTCTCTTCAGAAACTGTCCAGGAATCGGGGAAACCAAAAGGTGCCAATACCGCTACTTCCAGGACCTCTTCAAGGGGGGCGTTCTGCCCAGAAAATCTCGAGGCGCATCCGGAGATGGCGACGAGGGCCTCCTAGGAGGGGCCTACAAGGGGGAACACGAGGCAGAGGCAGCAGCATGGGCACCGTTTCCTCTCCTGAGGATTCTTGCTCTCGTCTCGATGCCGGCTACGTTTTTGGCCCTCACGGCCACGACCCCTTGTACACACACACACACACAACACACACACAACACACACACACAACACACACACATACTCTGAGGTGCACGTGGCCGTGTTCTCACCCCGACCTCCAGCTCCTCGACGCGCCTCTTCACCTTGGCTGGTGTATCAGGGTGCTCTGCTGGGGCACTGCCTTTTTGTTGGTAAGAGTTGCCCACCCGTCGGATGCTGTCGTCGCAACACCTGTTTGCTGCCAATCTGCAAACAATCTCGGTAGCAAACGATGTAGCCAGAACAGACATTTTACCTCCTGCGCTGTCGGGTTTACTGGCGGCGGACTTCGGTACTGGATTGGGCTGGCCCTGACTGACAGCGACTTCAGAAGCCTCCAGTAGCGGAGAACGTCGAAAGCAACCCGAGCTTTGTCACTGGCGTCTGCACAACCGATGCTTGTGGCCAGTGTGCATTGGATGGCCCCAGCGGCACCGTTCGACGGGAATCCCTTTCCCGAATGGTCTGGTGTCCAGCAGTCCACCACGTCCCAGGCCGCCGCCAGGCTCGTGGAGGAAGAGGAGGAGGGGGAGGAGGAGGAGGAGGGGGAGGAGGAGGCGGAGGATGAGGAGGAGGAGGAGGAGGAAGGGAGGAGGAAGAGGAGGAGATGGAGGAGGAGATGGAGAGGAGGAGGAGGAGGAGGAGGAGGAGGAGGAGGAGGAGGAGGAGTCTCCGCCGCCAGCCGCCTTCCCGGCCAGACCACGCGCCCTTCCGCCGCCAGCGGCCGCCTCGCCCCCCCCCCTCTGGGCGCTCCCCCCCCCGCGCGCTGCCCCCCCCCTCCCCCCCCTTCTGTCGCCGGGGCCCGCGCCGGGGCCGATGGCCCGCGGCGTCGCCCCGGAGGAACGGCGGGCTCCTTCGCCGCCAGTTGGGCCGTCCGTCCGTCGGCCGTCCGTCGGCCGCTTGCCGTCGTCATGGTTGTCGCTCGTCGGCCGTCGGACGTCGGCCGTCGGTCGCCGCCGACGTCGTCGTCCTCTGTGGGCGTTTGTCATTATCGCCCGCAGTCGTTCGTCCTCGTCGCCGTCGTCGTTCGCCGTCGTCGCGCTTCGTGCGTCGTGCGTCCTCGTCGTCGTCGTCGACGTCGGTCATCGTCGTTTGTCGTTCATCGTGCTTCGTCCTCGTTGTCAGAGGCGGACCAGTGATCAGGGAGGTCGCGAGGGAGACGAAGGGGGCTGGGGTTTGTAATAATGAGGCAGAAAGACGGGGAGGTGGAGGAGAGGGTGAAGAAGGGAGGATGCGGTTCAGGAGCCTCTGAAGGAGGTTCCAGGTCTCAGGTTTTTAAAGTGTCCCTGGATTTCTAAGGGAACGTTAGGGGGAAGACGCGAGAAAACGCAAAATCGCAGGTGCCGAACATTATTTTGTTCCGGTGCGACAGTTTGTGTAATTCTTATGACACCCCGACTGCAAGAAAAACAAGACTCCCTCGGGGGTGGGGACAGCATTCCATCTCGGTCGCCGCAAGTCGGCCCAGTCCCAGACCTCCGATGCCTTGATCTTCGGCATGTGGCCCCCAGAACCCTTGACCCCTCCTGTCTGGAGTTTGGTTTTCGATCCGGCCTGAGGCAAGCCCCTCGAGGCCGAAGGGAGGAGAGAAGCAAGACAGCAGCTGGAGGCCACAGCGTCCAGTTCTGGACGACATCAGGCTGTGTGGTCACGTTGTCGCCGCTGCTTGGGCGCGGCACGTACTCCGCGGACCCGCCCTCGGGGTGAGGGCGCTTCCGCGGGACGTTCAAAGCCAATCAAGCTAACGATTTGTTTGGATGGCCGACATGGCGAAGCTATCGGACGGGGCTACGACGAGGACAAATCCGTTCCAGAGCGCTCCGGAGAGCGCTGTCAGAGTGTTCTGGAACGCTCTGAGAAGGCCGCGGCGCCCGCGACATCCTCCAGAGCCGCTGGATCTCAGAGATTATCGATTTATCCTCGCCCGAGTCGAACATCGTCCTGGCATCGTATTACATGGACGGAGAAGCTGAAGGAGGAGGAGGAGGAGGAGGAGGAGCAGGAGGAGGAGGAGGAGGAGGAGGAGGAGGAGGAGGGAGGAGGAGGGAGGACCCCCGAGGCCGAAACTGAAGGGGAGCGGCGGCACTGGCACATCACGACGACGGAGGTGCGGTTGGGCAGGGCGAGGACGGTGCTGCGGCGGGTCTTGCTCCGGACTCCCCAGGGCGGTGGCGCAAGCTTGGTGAAGCGTAAGGCTCGACGAGTGCGTCCTGGATTTTGACGGTCCAGTTTTCGTGGGAGGTTTGCCGCGGGAGGTCGCGTCAGATTTCAGATGGGGCCTCGCCATTGTCATGATGGCCCCGTAGGGGCCCAACGCGAGCCCGCCGGGCCCGACTTCGACGTCTCCCCGACGAGTGGTCGAGATGTCCCAGCCGCCGTGCAATCAAGACGCCGAACACATCATCATGCTGGGTGTAGGACTGCCTCTGGGTTTCGGGCCGTGCCGTTCTCTTTCGGGCAGCTTCTGTTCGATGCCGAGGCCGGCCGTGGTCCGAAGAATGCCTTCGTTCCTTGCTCGGCGCTTCCCTGTGGCAGCCCGATGCACGTATGCGGGGTCGTGAGGAGGCCGCCCGCAGGGCTGGGCGCGTCGAGCACCATGCGCACGTGCTTCGAGGCGGGAGTTTGTCCATATCCACCGCCTGGAGGTCAGTTTTCGGAGACTCGGCAGGCGGTGGCTGTGGACACCTTCGGGCCCCCGGGGGCGGAAATAGATCCATATCCACCGCCCGCTGGGGCACCAGGACGTCGGTTCACAGGCGGTGGATATGGATACATCCCCGCCTCGCACGCACGCTCCGTGACAGGCGTCCGAGCGTTCCCGCGCTATGTCCGAGGGGGTCGGCGACGCACTCCGGGGGGAGAGGGCAGGAGGAGGGCGGGCCTTCCCGGGAGGTGCAGAGGACCTCCGGCCTTCTGGGAAGACTCTCCCACTGTGTACGTCACGGAGGGGAAGTCTCGGGGAGGCTCGTCCAAGGGGGGGGTGCTTCGCGCGGGGTTGTCTGCGTCCCCGCGGGGTTGCCCAGGGGGTCGTTTGGGGTAGACCGTGGGTCGTCCAGGTTGGGTCAGCGTGGGTCGTCCAGGTTGGCTGCGGGCGTCGGTCGCGCGCGCGAAGGTGGAGTGGGGGCGGCAGAACCCGCTGCAGGAGAGAAGGGGAGGAAGGGGATGAGGACAAGCAGAAGGAGGAGGAGGAGGAGGAGGAGGAAGAGGAGGAGGAGCGAGGATTGCTTTTCCATGGCACGCCGTAGGCCTTCCCCCTGCAAGACGAACGGGGCCTCCGGGCAGGCCGGCCGCAGGGCCCCTTTTGGAGCCCCGCCGCGCGCGGAGAAGGCCTGCCCTCACCGTGCTCTCTCGTGCTCGGGGGGGGGAGGGAGAGGGAGAGGGGCTCCTCCTCCACCCTCCTCCTCCTCCTCCTCCTCCTCCTCCTCCTCCTCCTCCTCCTCCTCCCTCCTCTCCTCCTCTCCTCCTCCCCTCCTCCTCCTCCCCCCTCCTCCTCCCTCCTCCCTCCTCCCTTCCTCCCTCCTCCTCCTCCTCTCCCCTCCTCCTCCTCCTCCTCCTCCTCCTCTTCCTCCTCCTCCTCGTTTCCCCAGGCATCACTCCCCCATTCGCAAGCGATTTTTCTGTCCGACTCCCCGAGCTCCACCGGAAAAGTTTGGCAGCTGACGAGAAGGCGGACCCTGGGATGCACCCCAACGGGGGGCTAGTGGACGCCCCCCCTGTCATGTATCCCGTGCTTGGGCACCAAATGTCCGGTCCATTCGAAAACCCCTCGAAGCCTGGGACAGGGGTCGACACTTCCCCTCTTATCCCTGTTGCGCCCCGAGGCTGGTCGGAAGGGCGGCCAGGGCGTCTCGCCTGAGAGTTCCTCACCATGTGTGACCTTGAAGCCTAAACAGTGGCAGTGGTTTCGCAGATCGAGGGCGCGTTGTTTCCAACATGAGGTTCTCGCGTCAGCGCCGCGCACACTCGTCTTAAAAACGTGCAAGAGTTTCACAGGTGGAGGGCGGCTCGTTATCAAGATGCGATTCTCGCCCGAGCGCCGTGCAGATGTGTTTTAAACACGTGCAAGAGTTTCACGGCTCCCCATGAATGACGTACCAGGAATTTCCTTGTGGACAGATTCAGGATTGTCAAGGCGCAACAGTGATGTTGATACACTGTGTTAAAATCCCAGAAAAAATTGTGCTCTGGCAAGATTCATGACCGCCAAGGCGCGACGGTCAGGTTGATTTGTGGCGTTGGAGTCCCGAGAATGGTGTTTTGGCACGCTGCATGATCTTCAAGCGGATGTCTCTCAACGGGGCATTTCCCACATTTGTAATGAATCCTGGTAGTGGCCTATGAAATGGGAGCTTGGAGGGAGGGTTTATTCCAACATCGTTGACGAGTCTTGGGTTTGCACTGGCTGGTCCTCCTCCTCCTCCTCCTCCTCCTCCTCCTCCTCCTCCTCCTCCTCCTCCTCCTCCTCCTCCTCCCCCTCCTCCTCTTGGTCCTCCTGCTCCTCCTCCTGGGGGGTCGCCCCAGGGCGGGCTCCCGGCCAGGCGGCCCCCCGCCTTGCCGCCCCTCGCCGCGCCCGCGCCACCACCCCGCAGGAGGGCGGGAGCCCGAGGGCCCCCCGAGCGCCCCGCGGGGGCGCGCGGCGGACATGCCCGGGGTGCCCGAGGGGCTCTCCGCGGCGGGCGGGCGCTCTCTCCGGCGGCCTCAGTCACCAAGAAGAGTTCCGGGCACCAACAGAAGTACCAGACCCTGGGGGATTTTCACGTGCTGGGCCCCGGGAGACGCTCGTCCGACACTGCTTCGGCACTGTTTCGATATTGTTTCGATGCTTGTCTGGGTGTTCGAAATTATTTCTGGGAAGTGGTCTTTAAGTAAGATGGGAACAACATAATCCCAGATGGTGTCTGAGCAGGTGGGGTCGGAGGATCGCGCCGCATCGGCGATGCATCGGCGATGCGGCGCGATGTGGGGCCCGATGTTCTCCACGCCGACGGCGCCGATGCACCACCGGCGCTGCCGGTGCATCGTCGATGCATCGCCAATGCATCGCCGATGAATCGTCGATGCGGCGCGATCCTCCGACCCCGTCCTCCCCCCGCCCCCTCTGGGAGGCATCGACGGATGGTCTCCTCACCGGCTCGGGCCGAGAGGCCCCTCGCGCGCGAGGCCCGTGCGGGGGGACCTCGCGCGCCTCGCGCGGGGCTCTTGCTGCTTGCCCTTGGGCTCGGACTGCTTCTCGCCTTGTGCGCTGCTCGGCACGAGGCCCCTTTGTGCGCCTCGGACGCGGGCACTATTCGCTCCGGCATGCTTTCTGTGATGTTACAGTATCGGGGGATCGGGGGGTGGGCAGAGCCCCCACCCTGACACGTCGATTGGTGAATTGTCCGTTTTCGGTTCTCGAGAGGGCGCCGCGGCCGTCATTTTCCAGGCTTGCACCCGCGAGGTTTGGGCCCGAGGTCGTTTTCACTAGACCACTTTTTGCTAAAGGGGGTTCTGTCCATCCTCGACAGTAGCCGTTTTCGGCAGGGCCTCGGGGGCGTGAGAAGCGACGCGGGGGACAGAACGCCGGCCTGCCGGAGCGGGTCTGGACCTCCGGGGAGCCGCGCCCTGAAATTTTCTGCGTCTCCCCCGAAGACACAGCAAACTTCTCGGCAGGCGCGAGGGCTTCTGAGAAATCTCGCCGCCTTCTGAGAAGGTCGCCGCCTTCTCACTTCCCCCCCCGGGGATGCCGCGCCTCCGGGGATGCCTGGGTTCACCAGGCGTCGAGGCTCCGGGGTCGAGGTGTCGGGGTCCGGAGGGCCGAGGCTTCTGGACGTCTCGACTTGTACTCTTCGGTGCTCGTGGACCGTCCTCGCCGCCACGGCTGGAAGGTCAAAGGGCAGGCCCGTGCGCCGGAAGGCGAGCCCACGAAGGGCGCAGGCGGTGGCAGTCGGCAGCGTGCTATACTACTCGGGGGTGGACAGAACCCCCAACAGTGACACGTCGATTAGTGAATTGTCCGTTTTCGGTTCTCGAGAGGGCGCCGTGGCCGTTATTTTCCAGGCTCGCGCCCGCCAGGTTTGGGCCTCAGGTCGTTTTCACTAAACCACGTTGTGCTAAAGGGGGTTCTGTCCATCCCCGAACTACACACGCGCGCGACACGATCCAAGGAAAGCAGTGCGTGCGTCGGAAAGGGGGAGGACACATTCACAGGGCGTGCTCATTGAAATCCACAGCCGGATCCATCCAGACATGCTGGTCCGAGCGAAGTCCACGGTGCGATTCTTTGTGAACGGTACGTTGCCGCGCTGGTGACTCCAGTGCGGGCGTTCAATGTTGAACGCCGCCGACGGCCCAGAATCGGCCGACAGCGAACGATCTGTCTTATCGGAGAGCCGTGGTCATTCAAGGTTGAGCGATCCACGGGATATCAGAGACTAACGCCGACGGCATCGCGACGCGAACCTGTCGCAGGCGGGCCCCGACATCCGGGCGGCTTCGAAGAAATCGAGACGGCTGTTCTCGGACTGGAACGCTCCGAGGAGGCCGCTACGCCCAATAGATCTCCCAGATCTGCGGGATCTCAGAGATTCTCCTTACCCGAATTTACCCTCGTCCTGGTTACGTCTTCCGATGTTATTCAGGAGGGGAAAAACATAGACACAATCAATCGTCGATCCCCACGAAAAGATGGGAACATATGGGAAATGGGGGGGGAAGATTCCCAAACCCAGAAATTCTAAAGAAATATTAGGAATCCTGGGATTGGTGTATTCATTTGTGCGTCCCTGGGCCCCTTCCCTCGTGCCGTGCGTCCGCGGCGGCCCGGCACCTCGGCCTCACCGCGATGTGCCCGGAGCCCCTGCCGCGGGCCCCCACGCCGCGGGGCTCGCGGGGGGCGCTCCAGCGGCCCGCCCTCGCCCGCATTGCTCTAGGCCTCCCAGGTGGGGTCGGAGCAGGTGGGGTCGGAGGACCGCGTCGCATCGGCGATGCATCGGCGATGCGGCTCGATGTGGAGCTCGATGTCCTCCACGTCGACGTCGCCGATGCATCGCCCACGTCGGCGATGCATCGCCAGTGCATCGCCGATGTGTCGCCGATGCATCGCCGATACATCGCCGATGTATCGGCGATGCGGCTCGATCCTCCGACCCCATCTGCTCCGACCCCATCCAGGAGGCCTCTAATTGCTATGGGCTGCTTTCGGGTTCTCGGGGCCATCGGTCCAGGTCGGAGGGGGGAGAAGCGACACCAACACCACCAGGGGGGCCACCTCCAGCGAGGAGGTCCACGATGCCTCCCCAAGCTGAAGGCTGGGGATGTCTCGAGCGAGAGGGGGGACCATACCACCAGGGAGACCTCCCTTTCTCCACGCATCTCCTCGCCCTGGTGGTGTTGGTGTCGCCTTTCCTTGTCCCTATCTAGGCCTCCCAGATCCGAAGATTGACAGACCTCCTACCATGACACGTCGATTAGCCAATTGGCCGCTTTCAGTTCGCCGGAGGGCGTCGCGGCCGTCATCTTTGCGGGTCCAGGTCCGTCGGTTTCGGCCCTAGGCTGGTTTCACGAAAGGGAGGTTTACTGAAGGGAGGTTTGTCCACCGCCGATAGATTGGGTCCGAGTAGGTGGGGTCAGAGGATCGCGCCGCATCGCCGATGCATCGGCTGTGTGGCTCGATGCGAAGCCCGATTTGCTCCACGTCGGCGTCGCTGATGCATCGCCCGCGTCGACGATGCATCGCCAGTGCATCGCCGATGCATCGCCGATGCATCGGCGATGCGGCGCGACCCTCCGACCCCACCTGCCCCGACCCCATGGGGGAGGCCTCGCACCGGGCCCTCCTCTGCCCCCTCCGCCGGGCAGTTCAGCCTGCCCGGGACCAGCGTGGCGCCGCGTGGGGCTCTCCCTCGGGGGTGCGGCAGGGAGAAATTATTCATAAGGGAAAGAAACGGAGGAGGAGGAGGAGGAGGAGGAGGAGGAGGAGGAGGAGGAGGAGGAGGAGGAGGAGGTGGAGGTTTGAGGAGGAGGTTGGAAGAGGAGGAGGTTGGAGGAGGAGGCTCACCACGTAGTAGCTGGACCGCGAACACTCTGGACTGGAGCTCGGGAGAGGTCTGGGGGCATCGAAGAACGAACCACGGCAGGAACAGAAAGTTTCGGAGCTCCGCGCGGACTGCCTGGAGCGGCGCCGGCCCCCCCCCAGGTGGCGCCTCCGGCGCCGCCCCTGGCCCGCGCCGCGCGCCAGGGAGGGGGGGCCAGCGCAGATCCAAGAAGTCCGCGCGGACCGTCGCGAGTTTCTGCGTCTGTGCCTGTGGTCTTCCTCTGGGCCAGCCCTCTCGTGGCCCTGCCATGAGCCTGCACTGGGCCCTGCCAGTGGCTCGCGCTGAGCCCCCGTCACCGCCCTGCAGCTCCCACCACTGCGCAGCACCCAACCGCAATACGACTCGCTGATCATTGTTCTCGGGGCTGATGCCCACAAGCCCGTGCTTCACCACCAGCCTCCAGCTCAGTTTACCGTAAAATCGGTTTCGGGGTCCAGCCGCGGGCGCCAGCCAGCCACGCGGGGTCCTGGCTGTGGTGGCGCTGGAGCACTGTGGCCACGCGCGCCACAGTTCTGGCTGTGGGCGTCCGTTTGGCGCCCGACGTTGGGAAACGGGTCCTCGCGGCCTCAGGCGCCGGCTCCCACCGTGGACGCCATCGGGTCCCATCTGCGTGGTCCCCACCGATGGGGTCCCAACCCACAGGGTCTTTCACCTTCGGGTCTTTCACCTTTGGGGTCCATTCCGTATACTCCCTGGCCGTCCCGCCTGACGGACAGGCGCAGTGTCCCGTGTCCAGTGTCCCGTAGATTCACGCCGATGTGGTCTGACCACGTCCCGTCCGCGGGGTCCCGCCCACGGGATCCGATGGATAAATAGGGTCCCGCCCGTGGGGATCCCAGCCACGGGGTCCACCAATAGGGTCCCACCAATAGATTGCCCCAGCTGCAATCCACTCTTCGGCTGATTTCCATTAGTTGCTCTTTGCACGTTGCTCGTCAGAAGTGCACCACTGAAGTTGCACACCAGACGTTGGCCTACATGGATCCCGTAACCACTTTGGCTCAATGCTGTTATGGTCATGCAGCACTCGATTCAGGGCGCCGCCCGCACTTCTCTCTGGTGGCCCGCGCACACTTGCACGCATTGCTGCGATGCCGTCGGGTATCGCAGGTGCTGTTTTCGCCGCCGCCGCCGCCATGGTGCCCGCTCTGGCGCACGCCTCAGCTGCGCTGGTGCCGTGGGAGTTTGTGGCGAGGCCCGACTCGGCGCAGCCTTCCAGGGGTGTGCCTCGCCAAGGGGCCTTCAAGCGCTCGCGGGGCCGGCGACTGCAGGCGGAGGGGTCAAAACCCGCACGGCACCTGTACTTTGCCGATGAGGGCGACCAGCGCTTCCGTTACGAGTACGCGGGCCGCTGCTTGGCCGAGCAGATCCTCAACGTCGATGCGGAGCTCGCTGTCGTTGGCTTCGCCTGCGGGGTGCCCCGGGGCAAGAGCGAGGGGGTGCTGCAGCTTCGCTGGCGTGCAGATGCCGTGCCGGGCGACAATGGCAGCGTGGGCAGGCCAAAGCCGCGGCCAAGGCTGCAGGCTGGCGACGCTGTGACCGGCGGATCTGGGTGGCGGTGCGGCCCGAGAGTCGATGGGGGGATGTTGTTTGAGGTTCTCCGGGTCGACAAGCACGCGACGCATGCAGATCCAGTAACCAGTCTGGTTGTGCGTGCTGCTTCGCCGTTCCGTTTCTTCCACGACGTGTTCATTGAGTTCGAGTGGTCGGGCATCGGTCGCAGACTGCACGACTACAACTACACACATCAATTGCCCAAGTTGCTGTTTAACAAAGACGATGACGGGGCGATAATCGAGAGGTCGTTTGACAATGGCGTTTTTCGGTGCGATGATTGTTTCGCTGAGCTGCAGCCTCTTCTTACGTTTCGGCTCGAAACGAACGGTGCCATCCCGCAAGCGTTGAGCCTTCGAGTTGATGGCCCACTCGACATTAGTATGTCTGTCGGTCTTGCCCCGGAGATGCAAGCCTCAGTGTCTGACGGATGGGCGCGCATTGAAGAGCACCTCGGGCCAGAGCTGATCGCACTCGCCCTCACGGCCGTGGTTGGCACTGCATCGGGCGGCTCCACGGCCGCATACTCGCCCGCACTTCTGCCGCTCTTTGCTGAGGTCACCGACCAGCTGAACATTGAATTGCTTCCCGTCTTGGGTATGGAGTCTCTGAGTTTCGCTGGTGGGAATCTATCCATGGACGACACTATCAGCGTGCAGCTATCTGCAAAGGCTGCCGACACCTACTTCGAGATTAGTTGGAGCAGGTCCGACGGCCTCACTTCCGCAGCGGCTTTCGACTACGACCTGACAGCCGACTATCCTGGCGACATCCTCACCCCAAATATCACTGCAGGTGCGCGTGCGTGCTTGGGTTTGAAGCTGATGGCGTTGTCTGCAGACACTCCGCTCGCACAGCCAGAGGTTTGCCCCGAAATGAAAATCTTCGCGGTGAAGCAAGACATCGAAGCGGTACCAGTGTTTCCCGAAGACATCGAGACCACTTCAGATTCAGCTGACACATTGTTGTGCTTCACATTCCAAAGTTTCAGTACGGACTTGGACCTTGACGTTGGCTATGATGATCCTTACGCAGAGGCGTGCTTTCTCGGCAAGTGCGTCGCCTCAACCCCGGACGCCTGGTTTCAGGGAGACACGGTGACATGGTCCGACGGTCCTCTTTGTTTGGAAGTGCGCAGGACTTCGGTCGAGCAGGTCCCGATATACCTGGGTGCGCACGAGGACGACCTCCTCTACAGCGAGCAGTACTCGGAACCCTTCCCTATCTCGCTGGCCGAAGCGTGCCCTAGCCTGTGGACAGCCGAGGTTGGTTGTAGCCTCCTCGAGAGCCTGCCCGTGAAGGACGGCGGCACGTACGCGACGCTCCGAGTGACCGTCGCCGTGACGAGCTTGAGGCGCTTGTCTGGCGCTGCAGCGCCGTGCCTCGGCATAGCCATCGGCGTGAGCTTGGGCGTGGGGGGCAGCTTCGGCGGGTTTGACTACCCGAGCTACTTCGATACTTCGGAGGGCCAAGAAGCTGGCACCAATACTGAGCATCGGGGAGGCGCATCCGCCTGGCGGGTGTGGGGTGATATTCATGTCTTTCGTGCTGGTGCTGGTGCTGGCGGTAGTCTCCAGGCCACCCCGAGAGGCCTGTGGTGCTACCACCGTCACCGAGATCGGGGGTTCATCTCCTCCCAGTGGAGGCAGCCGCCGATTGCCAGCATCGGTAGAACGATACCCATCCCCATCGGACGCCTATTCCCCGCTGGCCAACCAGCCTCCTCAGGTGGTGCCCACGTGGAGGTAGCAGGCTGGTGGCGGTAAGGACCCCTGGCCCTTTGGGGATGAGGAAAGGTCAGACGATCCTCAGATGCAGCCGAGACGTTGACGCAAGGAACCCCTCGGGTTCGGAAGGGGCTGGCTTTTCCGAAATTATGTCCGTCCATGGTTCTTCCTCTTGTAGCGCCCTTCGTGCACACAGGAGGCGATTTTGGGGGCCCACCAGGGGCGTCGCTCCCGAATAGGGCTTCTGGATAGTGCATTCCAATTCTGCGTTAAGGGAAGGCCCATATCGCAAGTGCACCCTGCATCTGTCGGTCCTGACCACCCTCAGCTCGCTTGGGCGCGCGCATCCTTGGCTTCCGCGCCGTTCCGAGGGTCTTGCGTTCTTGCAATCAGTCATCATCGCTGGTTCTGATTGTACCTGAGTCTCCCAGGCCCGTGTACCTGGGTCTCCCAGGGTCGAACAGATGGGATTTGGATCCCGATGTTATCCACGCCGGTGGCGCCAATGCATCACCGATGCATCTCCGATGCGGCGCGAGCCTCGGGCCCCATGCATTCCAACCGCATAGAGGACACCTTTACTGCAGCAACTTGACAGCAGTTTGGGCTTCCGAGGCCAAGCCTCGTGAGCGAAAGTCGTATCCGTATCCGCGGCCTCGCGGGCCGGCCTCGCGGGCCGGGCCCCTGGTCAGCGACCCCGCGGAGAAGGGCGGCGCGTTTTCCCGCGGGCACCCCGCGCGGAGTGTAAATCCTCGAGACAGCGCACATCTGCGGCACCGCGCCCCTTCGCATCTGGATTGCGAGGGCGCCGCATGCGGACATGTTCGCCTGCGGTGGCGCGCAGCGCGGCCGCAGGTTGAGGGTGCCCAGGGCCGCGGCTCCTCTCCGCACGTTTCGCGGGAGCCGAGGCCCTTCTCCTTTCGAGTGCAGCCGAGCTGCACCCGTCCTCTCGGCTAGCTTCCGGCCTCGGCCGGGAGGCTGGACGTGGAAAGTCCAGGGTCCACCAAGGGCTGGTTGCCTTCCAAAACGGCCGAGCCCTCCCGAAACCTGCCGAGACCGTCCGACACCCCTCCGGGAGGGCTTCCTGCTCGAGGCCTTCCCCGGGGGCTTTCGCGAGGGTTGGGGGAGAATTTTTGTCCGTCGCTTTGGGGGGGGACTCCGTCCATAGAGAACAGACCACGGGCTTTTTCCGGAGGCTGTAGAGAGAGCAGACCCTCGGTCGCTCCTCGCTGCTGGGCCCCCCGAGCACACGGGCGCGGGCGACAAGGTGCAGCCCGCCGGCCTCCTGCCGAGCGCCCGTCCCTCGGCCCCCCGCGGCGTCTGCCGGGGGCGCGCCGACGCGCTGGCGTCGGCGGCGGGCCGCCCCGCCGGGCCGCCGCCGCGGGGGCCCCTGGCGCTCGTGGCCGCCCGGGGGGGGCAAGCGGTGGCGAGGCGTCCCGGCGTGCCTGCTCTAGGCCCACCGAACGGTATGCTAAGAGCCTGTGTGCGGTTCCCACGGATCGTTCTCAGAACAGTCCTGGCCATGGCTCGCTTTGTTGTAACACATCGGGTCTATGGTCTAAGAATAGTTAGTTTTGTTCTTAAGATTTGGTGGGGTTCTAAGAACATCTCGTGGTGGGCCTAAAGGAATGCTGGGACCCTGCTCAGAGGGGGGCAAGCGAGGGTGAGAAAATCACGACGGCAGGCTTTTCGCTATGTTCGGCCTCCGGGGGCCCTTGCCGGGCCTCAGGAGCGCCAGAACTCGGCCCAGGATGAGAAACCGGTCCCGGGGAAGGGGTCCAGACCTCTGGCGGGTCGACGCCATGAAAAAATCATGACGTCGGGGGTCTCGGGGCGGGCCTGCCAGGTTCGGGGGTGGATCGGCGGCGAGGCTGTGGGGGGGGAGTGCTGGGCCTCCCAGAGGGGGTCCGAGCAGATGGGTCGGAGGATCGCGCCGCATCGCCGATGCGTCGACGATGCGGCTAGATGTGGAGCCCGATTTTCCCCACGCCGACGTCGCGGATGCGTCGCCGACGTCGCCGATGCATCGCCGATTTATCGGCGATGCACTGGCGATGCGGCGCGATCCTTCGACCCCATCTATTCGGGCCCCATCTAGGAGGCCTCTAGAATTGCGAAGGAGAAGGCTTTCTCGGAAGGCTCGGAAGTCCTCAGGCCTGCTGAGAAGTTCTCATGCAGAAAACTTTGCAGAAGGCGCGAGGACTTTTGAGAAGTCCCGCCGCCTTCTGAGAAGGCTTCTCCCTCTCATTTCCCCCCCTCGCTCGCCACCGATTTGAGGTCTTCGGATGTTTTCGTCGGTCCTCGGCGGTTTTCTGGCCTCGGGATGCTCTCTAGCAGCTGCGCCTGGCCGGGAGCGTTCCCGGGGTGCCAGGATCATCCCGAACGGCCGCCGGAGAGCCGAGTTATGGCCCACAAACCAAGGGCAGCGTCAGGGGGGGATGGGCTCAGGGGTGGGGGCGCAGCGACCCCCCATCGTCCTTGCATCGCCGATCGGGGCCCGACAGCCCACGCGGGCTCACTATCGGGAGCACGTTCGCAGATCGATCGGCGATGCATCGCGGATTCTGGGTCGATGTTTCACCCTTCTGTGCCATTTCCCCGCTCTCGTTGCCCCCGTCAGGGGCAACGGTAGGGGGTTAATTGGCATAAGGGGGGATGCATCGACCCCGAAATGCCCTTAGATCGCCGATATGGGGCCCTATAGCCCCAACCTGCCCAGGACGGTGCGGATTCACTATCGGGGGCCTATCGCCGATCCATCGACGATGGATCGCCGATTCCAGGTTGATGCATCCCCCCCTTATATGCCAGCCCCCCCTAATATCGTTGCCTCTCACCCCGAGGCTGCGGCGCTGGCGGCGCTGTCCTGAGCCCGGTTCCCACCTTGGAGCCGGCTGGGGGTGCGGTGACCCAGCCCCGGGGCCTCGGCAAGCCAGAGGTGGGGCCCGGTTCGAGGCGCTGGGCTCGGCAGGATTTGCTGTCTTTAGGCCTCCCGGGGCCGTTTGCGGGCACCATGGGCCGTCAAAAACGTATCCGGGGTGACTTGTTTGCACCAGATGGGCCAGGAGGGGGACTGACCTCGAGTGGATTCCCCCAGCCGCCTCCAACTCGGGCCCCTCGGCCGTGGATGGAGGGCGAATCGGGCAACTGAAATGCCCTCTGGCCTGCGGTCCGCAGCCCCTGACCTAGACCGAGGGGCAAGCAAACCTGCGCTGGTGGCTCCCGACCGCGGCGCTGGTCCCTGGCGCTCGCGGCCGCGGCGCTGGCGGCGCTGTCCTGAGCTCACGAGCGGCGACTATGCTCAAGTCGGGCCTGTCCCTTTACAGGAGGAATATTCAAAAATAGACAAACAACTTCTCAGGGGACGTTTTTTCTATTTTTAATTCTTTGAGCCAACTGTTTTTGAATGTTCGTCCAAAATCCGCCTGTAGGAGGACTTGACCGACATAAGACCATATCCGTATCCGCGCCCTCGCGGTCTGGATTCCGGGCCGGGACGCATTCCTACGGATGCGCGATCGCCCGGATACGCCCCGCGCGGGGCTCCCGCGAAAAAGAACGCCCCGTCTTTACGGGGTCGCGGCCCAGGGGCCTGGCCCGCGAAGGTGCCGGGCTGCGGATGTGTTTTTCGCCTAGAGTTGGCGGCGGTGTCCTGGGCTCGGCGGACTCAGAGAGTCCCTGCACAGGTCCTGCACGGACGAGAAAACATAGTTTCAGACACGCATGTGCCAAGGCTAAGTCCTATCGGCTGCGCGCAAGAGTGACGCTACACTGAGTTCCCCCCGAACTGGCCTGCGAGCGTGGATTTGGCCCCACAGCGGTCCCGCGCACCAGGGGTCAATCTAGCCTAGGGGCCATTCTTGTGTGCAGGCGGCTATCGCCCGTGCCGCGTGCGGATCTGCCTTCTGCTGCGCTTTGCGGCCCCCTCCTACACATCCTCCTGGGCCGCCTCTGGATGCCTCTCGCCCCCTTGCTCGACCTCGTCCGTGTCCTCCGCCGCTCCACTCCCCGCCCCCCCTCCGCATCCCCACCTGCCTTTTCCTCCTCCTCCTCCTCCTCCTCCTCGTCCTCCTCCTCGTCCTCCTCCTCCTCCTCCTCCTCGTCCTCCTCTTCCTCCTCGTCGTCCTCCTCCTCCTCCTCCTCGTCCCCGTCCTCCTCCTCCTCCTCCTCCTCCTCTTTCTCCTCCTCCTCCTCCTCCTCCTCCTCCTCGTGCTTGTTCCATTGTCCTCATCCTCCTGCCTACTCCCTCCCCCTCTCTCCTCGTGCCTCCCTCCTCTCCTCGTTCGTTCGTCGTCCTGCCCTGCCCGCCTTATCCTCGTTCGTTCGTCCTCTCCTCGTTCGTGTTGGACCTCTTTCCTCATCCTCCTCCCCCACCTCCGTGGTCAGCTGCGGCATCAGTTGAGAAGTCGCCACATGTCATGACGACTGCCTCACCGGGAACGCCTGGGGATCCCCCCTCGCGTCTGCGACGAGTGCCGGCTGCATGCCGCGGCCGCCAGGCCAGGAGGGGCCTGGTGTTCCCTGGGGGACCCGCCTCGCGTTTGTCGGGCGGGGATCGCTCGAAGCACGACGCAGAGAAAAGGGGGGGGCGTCTGCACGGGGCTTGGCGCGTCGGCTGCCCGCGCAAGATCGCGCGCAGGCGCCCTCCAGTGTGGTGTGCTGGCGGCCCGCGTCGGCCTCCGCGCAAGGCCGCTATCTCGTCCCGCGTCGATGGGCCTTACGCGAGGCGATCCAATGATGACGCCTGCCTTAGGTGATGGTCTTCGCTGTATGTTCTTCTCGTCGCTCAGATGATGATGACTGCCTCCGCCGTCCTGGACTCTCCGTCCCGCTTGCTGCTGGCCTTTCGACCCTCCACCCCTCGCCCTCCATCCCCCCCCCCCTGGCCTCGCCCCCTCGGGGGAGGGAGGGGTGGGTATCGGCGACTGCGCGGAGAATCGAGGGGGAGGGAGAAGTTCGAGTATCGAAGTTCGAGGATCGAGGTTCGACGATCAAGGCCGGGGAACGTCTCGCCGCCGCAGCCGGACCCCCCTCCGAAATCTCTGGTCGAAGCGCGCCAATGGGATGCGGGGATGAATGATTTCTGCCTCGGCGGTCCGAGGGGAACAAAATGAGGACTTGGGGGCCCCAGCGCCGATCCGAGGAATCCGCACGGACCTCCGAGTTGTTCTGCTTACGCCATTTTTTGATCCCCTAGGGAGGAGAGACGTGGGGGTCTATGATGGCTGCCGATCCCGGCAGGCTCTGGCAGCGGTTCCTGAGCGCCACCTGCTGCGCGAGAGCCAGCAACAGGCCCCGCGTCGGCAGGACTCCCCGAGCGCGCCTCGCATGTTGCGCACAGTGCCTACTCGCAGCCGTCCGGCAAGCACGTGTGCCTCGATGTGCCGGGTCGCACATCCCCCGTGGCGGATCCAGGCCATTTGCGAGTACCCAAGAAGAAAACTTCTTGCATAAGCATGAACTTTTGGAGGGCCGCGCGGATTTCTCGGATCCGCGCTTGCGCCCCCCTGGCGACGCCTCTGGCGACGCTGCTGGCGCGCGCCGCGCGCTGATGAGAGGGGGTCCAGCGCGGATCGAAGACATCCGGTCGGATCTCCATCTGTTTCTGTACCATCCACACTCTATGTTGGATGGTACAGCTTACCTGCTTCTACAATACCTCGGGCCTGTGCCAAGTGCCAGTGCCACGTTTTAGTTACAAGCCACTGCAGACACATGTGATGTCGTAGCGTACGTATATGGACACATTCGGGGTCGATGCGTCTAGACACTGCGGCCGTTGAGTTCGGCGCAGCACAAGCTCGGAGAATGGATAGATCCGTCTTCGGCATGTTCCTGTTGTTAGAGCAGATCCCACACGGTTCTCCACTGCCGGTTCGACTCGACCTCGGATTCCGATTGGGATCTCGGTGTCTCAGTGGAGGTTTTGCCTTGCGTCCTTCCCGCGCTTCCTTCTGCTTCGGGCGTGCTGCACATAAGCATGACACGTCGGAGCCCCGCGCAGATGTCGCCTCGGATCGCTGCACAGACTTCTCGAGTCGTCGCCAGCGCCCTGGGATCGGTGGAGAGAAGAGCGGCACAGCATCCTCGAGCTGGGATAAGTATAGGGGATGCTTCTCGAGCGGGGAGGGGCGACCCTGGCTCCTCGCGCCGGTGGTGGTGCCGCCTCCTCTTCTCTTGCCCTTGCGAGACCGTGGAAGAGATAGCTGTACGAAAATACAGTCAACCCGCATAGTAAGGATGCACGATAAGGATGCAAGGGCCTTGGCCGCCCATTTCGAAGCTTTTCGAACTGGGCGTGGCCAAAGAAAGTGGCAAAGGATGGGCCGAGGAGACAAGGATGCAGGGGTACCCCTGGGAAAGCCGCTCATCCTTACCATGCGTGTCGACTGTAGATATTCGGAGGTCTGCGCGGATTTGTCGGATCGGCGCTGGACCAAGGGGGGAAGCGTGAGACTCGAGGTCGCCGCGACTCGGGCTTGCCGACGCTTAGTCGGCGAACCCCCGTCCCGGATGCTGACGGTCCGTTTTTTGTGTGGGTGCTTTGGCGGCAGGAGGTCGCGCCAGATTGCAGACTGGGTCTCGTCATTTTCCCACGCCGGGCCCTCCAGGCCGAGTCCCCCGTGCCCGAGTCTTACGCCTCCCACATCCATGGGGGGGGGGCGGTCGGGAAGTCTGTTGCTGGTTGCGGCTCCACCGCCCAGCACGCTCCTCAATGCACGGGCGCCCCCGTCGCCAGGAGGCCCCCGGAAGGACGGCTGCACGAGCCGATTTGCACCCCCCCGCCTCTGCTGTCCCCCCCCCCCTTTCTCGGTATCGTTTAACCAGTGCCCATCCCCATCTCCATCCCCCTTCGAGACCCCCACCAAATTACCACCCCAGTTGGGGATCCCCCTCGAAACCCAAAGGGAGCGGCCTATATCCCCATCTAGGGGGGTAGATCGGCCAGTGGGGCCCATCTAGGGGGGTAGAGCGGCCTGGCCTGAGGCCAGGCCGCTGGGGATGGGGATCGGTGAAACGATACTCACCCCCTTTCGTCCAACCCGCCTGTCGCGGGGGGGACTCTGCAGGCCCCCATCCAACCAGGGCCTGCCCATGGCCATGGTTTAGCAACCGAGCAGAGGATTGGGGCGGGCGCGTGCGGAGTCTTCCAGGGACTTCTGGGCTCTCCCAGGCGCTCTCCCAGCAGAGTGGGGAAAGAGCGTGGTGGCGACAAGTAAATGGAAGTGGAGAGAGAGAGAGAGAGGTAGATTGATAGATGGAGAGAGAGAGGGAGACAGAGAGCGTCTTGGCCAGAGCCGAGAGAGGGAATGATCATGAGAGAGAGAGAGAGACCAGCGGATGTGCAGATGATTTGTTTGGAGAAGAGAGGGACACACACATTCATACACACGCAGACACAGTTACACATCTATACATTTCTATATATAAACAAATATGACAAGAACGCGGCACCGTATTTGAGGCCTTTTGGCAGGAACCCCGACCGCACATTGGTCGACTGGGGATCCCGCGTACACTTCGGGAGCCCCATATCGACACCGAGGGCGCTCAGGCAGCCGTTAAGACGATCCACGGCGGCCTCGAGCCGTGCCAAGACGGTCTCCAGACTCCCTGGGGCCCGCTGGAATCTTCTGATGGTTTTTGTTTGGGGGGGGTCCCCGTGGCCCTGCTGAGGGTGTTACAGGGCCTCTTGGGGTTTGGTGGGTTTCTTTGAGGCTGGGGGGGGGTCCCTGTGGCCCTGCTGAGGGTCTGTTAGAGGTGTTACAGGGCCTCTTAGGGGGTTTTGGGTGGGTGTCTTTAAGGTTTGGGGGGGATCCGTGGGCCCTCCCCCATGCGTATCTTCGGGGCATGCTTGGGGCCTGCCGGCTGCTTCGGGAACCATCCTGGGGTGGAGGGGTCCAGATTGCAGCTCGAGGTATTCCTGTCGGGGGCCTCTGGGGATCCTCCGGGCCCCCGGGGGACCTCGGAGGCCTTCTTGGGCGGGTTTGGGGACCACCTGGGCCGTCCAAGACGCCCAAAGTACGGAGCATGGGACAAAAACCACGCATCTAATTTTCAGAACGTGACTCAGGCTTCCCAGGCCGGGCCGCCGGGGCACCCTGGGAAATCTCTGGGACGGTTCCTTGGGGTCGCCGAGGGTGGACTTTTCAATCGCCAGTGTTGGCAGTATTTGAAGGGCCGGCCTATCCGGCGGCAAAGAAAGGAGGAGGAGCAGGAAGAGGAGGAGGAGAAGGAAGATGAAGGGTTGGTTATTTCGAGCTACGTCCATCCTTTCTGGCCTGAGTCGCAACCGCGCGTCCCCGCTTTTTGCCGCAGCCCAGGAAGGGCGCTTTCGGGCTGTTCAGCCAAGGCCGCTGGGAGGGGGGACCAGATGCAGCGGCGTTCGTGTTGATGGGGGTATTGATCATGCCTGAGGGGGCGATGAGTAGTTGTTGGAGATGCTCAGAGGGGAGCGTTGGATGCCTGTTTGTGTGCAGATAAAGGTCGCGGGTGCGCCAAGATAAACGCGCATCGAGAGACGCCATGCGCGAAAGTATTCGTTCAGCCTGACAGTGGAAAGATCCAGTCGTGCATGGCGAGAGGTAGCAATTGGTTATGGTCTCGCGCGGAGTGTTGCGCGTGGCTAGGTAACAATTCCAGTGCAGGCTAAGGGGTCCAAGGCCAGCACCAAAAGCAACAGGGTCTGACCTGACAGAGGCGAAGCTCTTGAAGGATAGCAAATCAGATAGATTTGCATACGTCAGCAATGCTGCGTTGGTGTTCCGTTGCTCAGCTTTAGTCATCTTTGCGCATGCCGACGACATGGCTGGGAAGGACACCATTTCCTTTGGGGCACATGATTCGTCATCGGACCAAGTCGAGGCCAACCGACAGTTGCGTGCAGGACTCAGTCGCAATGGACGCTCCATGCAGACGCGTAGCGTCGACCCAAGTCGTAAGGCAGAGATAAACACGTGTGTCGCGCCGCGCGCGGATGCATTTCCTTAATCTCTTCCCCTCGCCCTCCTTCCTCCCCGTCCTCCTCCCCTCCGGTGACCGCCACTTCCTCCCCCTTCCTCCTCGCCTTCGTCTCCCCGTCCACCTCCCCATCCAGGCCCCTCTGCCTCCCCCGCCCGTCCCCCTCCCTTTCCCAGTCAACCCCCTTTATCCATACCGCCTGCGCCCCCTTCCCTTCACCAACTTCCTGAACGTTGGCCCCTGGCGCCTCCTCTTGTTTCAATGCATCCCGGGCCCTCCCCCCGCATGGGCCGCGCACGCGCTGCCGGCAATGCTTTGCGCCCCCCCTCTTGGACGCCCACGTGTTGGATACCCCCGACCCCTGCGATTGCTCAACGAACGCCCCGGGGAGCCCGACACGCAGCCAGCGCCCAGGGGGCGAGGGTGCCATGCCTGCTCGTGGGCGGCGCCGCCGCTGAGATCCCTCGGCGCCCAACCGCCCACCCCGCTCGGGAACGTGCGGCTCTGCTGTCAGGGGCCTCTCGGCGATCTACCGCCGATGCCAGGTCGGTGTGTGCCTCCCCCCTTCTCCCGAGCCGCCCCACCCCCCGCCCGCCCCCTGCTCCCCCCCTCGACCCCGTGGGGCAGAGGGGGGCGGCCTGGGCCCGCTGCAGGCGACGACCCGATCTCCCCCGGCCTCCTGGTCGAGGCGGCGCGGCGCCGCTGCTCGCCACTGCGGCCCGCGCCTCGCCGCCGCCGTCGCCCTCGCAGCCCTCGTCGCCGGCGCCGTCGTGGGCGTCGGCGCCCTCGGCCCCCGCCCTCGGCCCCCGCCCCTCGGCCCCGGGTCTCGGGCCCCGTTCCCCCAGAGGGCTCCAAAGGGTGCTCTCGGGGGAGGGGGTTTTCCAGGAGGGGCCCCCCCAGGGGCTTCGCGCCACCTGTTTTGACCAGGTTCCGAGGGCCCCTGAGGGGCTCTCTGGACCGCCCCCTCCCCCAAAACCGCCTCTGGAACCCTCTGGGTTCTCGGCCCGTCGTCGTCGGCAGCGCCGCCGTCGTGGCCGCCGCTGCGGTTGGCGTCCCTCGTCGCCGGCGGCGCAGGTCTCGTCGACGTCGTGGCGGGGGCAGCGGCGGCAGTCGGCAGCGGGGCCCTCGGGCTGCGCGGGCCCCGGGCTAAGCCGCCCCGGCCAGGCGCCGCTGTCCCACAGGACAGCCCAGGCAGCAGGGTGATGACTAGGGGGGGGAGTATATCATGGCGTGTGCCATGATGTTTCCCCAGATTTCATGGCGCCTCTTCGTATGTCATCACGTCCCTGGCCCCCCTTGGGCCGCGCACATGCCGCCGGCCATGATGTGCACCCCCCCCCTCTTGGACGCCCCCCTCTTGGCCGCCCCCGAGCAGGGCTCTCACGCGCTGCCCAGAACAACAGTACCAAACACGAGTCCCGAACCACTCGTGCCGTGAAGAGATCACAACTGAGTGCGTTCGGCCTTTGGATGTCTACTACGAATCAGGGGGGGGGCCTTACAGGCCCCGGGGCAGTCAAAAGCAACCCGGCCTTCTACGAGGCGACGAAAGGTTCAGGGGGCCGCGTTGCGAACAAGTAGCGATTTGCGGCGTTTGGGAGGAGTATTCGGTGTGGCCCCGCAGCTTTTTTTAGGTTGGGATTCGGGAGGGCCATCACAGGCCTACGTGGCCCACGACAAACAGTCCGCCGCGTACAGCCCGTGCGAAGTACCGAGAGTTCGGGAGCCCCACCTGTTGAAAAAGGCCGTGGACGCTGGACGTCTGGGCAGCTGCCCTAGATTGCAGCTGAAGCAACATGTTTCCAGTCTTAAGCCTGTCCTGGCTTCTCTGTCCAGGCTTCGGCAGTAATAAGACTAACGAGCCATCCGACGCGAAAGATCGATTACTAAACCGTTCTTTTTGGTGGACCCCCTCAATGCGCCCTGGCGTTCTCTTGTCGGCGCTGGCTGCATTGCATTTCCTCGGAAACTGAGGCTCACGCTCAAGCGTTTCAGGCCTGCGCACCCACCGGCCCTCAGCAAGAACGCTGCCGATCCCGCTCCCCCGCACGATGCTTCCCCGCGCTTCACTCTTGGCCAGAGCCCCCGCTCACCGCCGAAAAACCAGCCCTTCAGCAAAACCAGCGCTCCCGTTCGATGCGTTCTCGCTTTTTTACCCAGTGGTGGCGTCTGATCTTTGGATCCGCAGACTGGCCCTCCTACAAGAACGACGCTCTCGCTCAATACTTCCTGGCTTGCTGCTCAAGACTGGCACGTCTTGCTCGCCGCCGAAAACGCGCCCTTCAATACAAGCAGCGCTTCCGCTCGATATGTCCTCGCTTTTGGCCCAGTTGTGGCGTTCCCGATTTAGATCCGCAAACCGACCCTCCTATATCAACGACGCTCCAACTCGATACGTGATCGCTTTTTCACATCGCGTGCCACTCGCGCAGCGTGTTGCACGCATGGTGAAAGCGCATACGATAACCGCAGTATGTATATGTGTTCGCGTGCGTGCGCAGGGAGTGTCTATGGTACATGCGTGCGGGCGCGTCGGGGTAAGGGGCATTCATTGCACGCGCGTGCAAGTTCGGCAGGCCAGGAGCCCTGCAGAGCCCTTCGGGAGCGTACGCGCCCACCCAGGCACGGGCCTGTGGGCGCAGGGTCGGCGGCGAGGGCACGGGCCCCGATCGCGATCCCAGCGGCCGCCCAGGCACGGGCCTGGGGGCGCAACGGCGGCGGCGAGGGCACGGGCCCCGACCGTCAGCCCAGGGGCCACCCAGGCACGGGCCTGCGGGGCCACGTCGGCGGCAAGGGCACGGGCCCCGTCCGCGACACCAGCGGCCGCCCAGGCACGGGCCTGCGGGGCACGCTCGGCGGCGAGGGCACGGGCCCCGACCGCGAGGCTCGCCGGCGAGGGCACGGGCCCCGACCGCGGGACCAAAAGGCTAAGGCCACCCAGGCACGGGCCTGCGGGGCCACGTCGGCGGCGAGGGCACGGGCCCCGACCGCGACGCTCGGCGGCAAGGGCACGGGCCCCGACCGCGAGGCCAAAAACCTGGAGCCAACAGGCACGGGCTTGGGGGGCCAGCTCGGCGGCGAGGGCACGGGCCCCGACCGCAGGCAGGGCGCTGCCCAGGCTCGGGCCCTCGGGCGCAGGAAACACCAGCGGCGAGGGCACGGGCCCCGTCCACAAAGGAAGGTTCGGGCAAGGGCCCGACAGGCATGGGCCCGATCGGGCGTCTTACCCGCAGGAGCTGACCTTGGTTGCGTGCGCGCAGCAGCACCAGCACGCCGCGGAGCAGGCGTCCAGGGAAGGGGCGTTGACACAGACGCTCAAGCAGGTCGCCCGCTCCCAGGAGGCGCAGACCAAGGCCGCCCGCAAGGCCCGGAAGGGCGCCCGCGGCGCAAGCTCATCCTCGGATGGGTCCCGCGGCCGGTGCGACGGGGAGTTCGACGCCACTTCGTGCTTGGGCAGGTACGGGCACAGTTGCGGCGACACGCGTGCCCTGGTCTGGCGTTGCCTTCCCATCGTGCGACCAGCGCGTGGACGCCGACAGGCTTCGGCAGGTGGCAGTGGAGGTTTCACTCAAGACTGCCGAACCAGTCCTCCAGCAAGAGCAGCGCTCGCGTTTGACACTTCCTTGCTCTGTACTCTGGAGTGTCGTTCGCGCCTTGAGTCCACAAACGGGCCCCGCTACAACAGCGCGTTCCCGCTCGATGCGCCTTCGCTTTTTATTCAAATCTTGCGCTCGTGTTTGCCATCAGAAGCCAGCCTGAACAAGATCAGCCCTCCCGCTTGATCGTGTTTCGTGGTTTCATGGCGCTCGCGCGCTGGCATCGCAAACCGGCCCCCCCTAACAACAACGCTCCCGCTCGACACGTTTTCACTTTTTACTCAAAGGTGGAGCCCTTGTTTCGGCGGCGGGTTCCGAACACGCCCTTGCTGAGGCTCCACAAAGGTTCCGAAGAGGCGCCAAGGTTCCACAAGTGGACCTGGACTAGTGCCAGGACCGAGGGACTGGACTAGCGCCCAGGTGCCGCACCAGCTCCGCGACCTCGGATTCGACTTCGAGTTCGCCTCGCTCCGGTCCTACGCCGCCGTCGCCGCCAGGACGGCGCGCTATGAGGCATGGGCTTCTGGTGGCCTCCGCGCTTGGCAGCGCCTGCGGAGCCTTGAGGAGCATTTGCAAGCCTCTGATGATGCGGGCTTTGGGGTGATCGAGTGGCTGTCGCGCTCTGCCGTGGCGACGTTGGCAAGGGCCGACCAGCGAACTGCCGCCGCGCTCGGGATCCCGCAGCTGCGCGCGCAACAGCTCCGGGAGGAGGACATCGAGCGGCGAAAGAACTTCCAGAAGCTACTAGCGGCTGCACTCCGCCCTGGGCTCGGCCATGTCTGGGCTGTTGCGCGGGAGCGACTGGGGTGCTGGACGAGTGAGGTTTTCCTTGGGCGGAGGGTCGCCACGTTCATCGACTTCATCGGCCACGTCTCCGGCCAGGTGCCGCCGCGGTCTGCCGCCGCTTGCCTGCGCACCGCCTTCAACGGATGGTGCACGGGCAGGCGCTTCCAGCAGCGGGGCTGCTGTGTCTTTGGCTGCCCGCTGGCCGCGGACTCGCTGGAGCACTACTTCGGGTGCCCCCGCTACGGGGTCTTCCTCGGGCGGCACCTCGGGCTGCGCAGGCGCGACGGGGCCGCGGGTTTCGACGCCTTCCTCGGCTGGGGGCGCGGCCTGGCCTTGAAGTCCGGCGAGGGTGCTGACTCCGCGGGGCTCGCCGCGCTAGGGTTATGTCGGGCGTGCCCCCCTACAGGGGGATCTTCGACGAAACATTAAAAAGGCCCCAAAAATACCCCCCAAAGGTCAAACAATACTAGAAAAAATAATCCCCATACTATGTTTGGATAACTTTGTGTATATTTTTAGTGAATGTTTGATTTCTCGTCGAAGATCCCCCTGTAGGGGGACAGGCCCGACTTAACGCTAGGGATGCATTCGTTGTACCGGGTGCACGGTGCGGTCCGTAGTGGGACCCTTCAGCGGCGGGATGCCGCCTCGGCCCTCCTGCGGGAGGGAGTTCGCAGGCATCCCAAGGCGGAGGCCCTTTTGCGTGCTGCCCGCGTCCGTAGGCGTGCTTGGTAAGTGCCTCACCCCTTCCCTCCCTCTCTCCCGCGGGCCTGGTCAGCCCTCCGCCGTTTGGCCGTCGGCCGCATCGCAAACTCTCTACGGCTTCGCGCCCTGCCCGCCAACAGCGCGGCGTTTTCTAGCAGCTCGGGGTCGTTCACGGTGGTCGTTCAGTCTGTTTATAACCATCGATCCTCGATTCGAGGCTTTTGATGTTGGCGTTTACCCTGTAGGGTAATCCACAGGTTCGGCCGCAACCGCTACTTTGGCCTGGTGTGATTAGGATGTGAAGGCAAGCGCTTAAGCGGACAGGAATCGGTTTTGTTCCCAAGGTGTCTGGTTTGCAGCAACAAAAAAGTGGACCTCGGACGGCCCAGGAGAGCCGCAACACGGCCGAAGAAAACGCAAAGACGGCCCAGGGGAGGCCCAGCATCTTGAACAATTGAAGGTGGTATACGGTGTTTCGCAAGAGGTGTCGAGAACATTTTTTTTCGGGCGGCGGATCTGGATAAGGGAAGACCGGGCGCACGCATGAAACAATTCCCCCGTGAGCGGGGGAGCTAACATGATGACTGTTGTTGCGCATTTGATGATTTGTATTATGATGATTGTTGTTGTGCATATAATGATGCCTGCATGCTGCATGTCACATCGTTGAGCTTCTGACGGTTGCTGTTGTCGTTGTTTGGCCCGTCACGGGGGGGCAGCTCGGTCTTCCCCCCTGGGCACACCCGCGGCCCCTCAGCCATGCTGGTGTGTCGCGCGACAGGCCGCGGCCCTGCGATGGAGAGGTGCACGCCTGTCGGCGGCGGCCCTTCGAGGGAGCGCGAAGACGTGGGGCAGCGTTGCAAGGGCCCAGAGGGGAGTGGTACTGCTACGCGCTGCGTTCCCGGAGTCTCAGACTTGCCTGGGTTACCAAGGCCCACAGTGGTTCCGCACGGGCTCCTCCTGGACCGAAAGAGCGCTAGCTGCTCCGGAACTCCTGGGCCGCATCCTGAGCCAATCACATGATGACATCGTTCCCGTTCTGCTATTGGCGTTCGGAAGATAGCGTGCAATGTGGCCCAGTTGGCCCGCTTATTACACGCTATCCCCCACCCTGGGGATTGCTTGCGCCGAAGAAGTCCTGGCAGGGTGAAGGGTGCACCGAAAGACCCTCTCGGAGGAATTGCCTCACGGTGATAGCGTGCTCTTCGGAGATCGATGTTGCACGTTACCTTTCCAAGGCCAGCCCTAAGTGTGGCCACCCGACCCCGTGTTTCTTTTTGCTGGGTCTGCCAGCGGGTGCGGCGGCGCCGCTTCTCGGAGGCGGCGATAATTGCGAATAGCCCAGGGGGAACAGTACCCTGGCATTGCTCAGACCAGTGCATTTTTTCGGCGATGACCATCCTGTCTCATGTTGCACCTAACCAGGAAGTACGACACTGAAACATGCACGGGGAATGGACGTCCGAGCGATGGCAAGGTACAAGTATTCAGGGGCGCCGATGGTCCATGTCATCGGCGAGGCTGTCCGCCGAATGCGTGTAACGCACGTCCTTGGGCTACTTTCTGCGGCGAGCGCGGGGGGGAACAGAGAATGAGAAGGCCTTCTCAGAAGGAGGCGGCGGGATATCTCAGAAGCCTTCGCGAGTTCTGAGAAGTTTTTTGTCTCGTCGGGGAAGGCTTAGAAAGCTTCTCAGAAGGTCGGGGGACTTCCGAGACTTCTCAGAAGGCCGTCTCCGTTTCATTACCTCCCTTCGCTCGCCGCCGATATTCGCTTCCAGCGTTGCCGCCGAGTTTCGCGAGAGGTGGTCCTGGCCAGGCACGTCCCCGACCTGGACGCGCCCCAGTCGGGAGAGGTGGACACCACCAGGCCGCCCACCGGGGACGCGAGGGGGCGTGCATCCTGGCGGCGCGGCGGGCGGTGTGCTCCCGCGTCCTTTTCATCCGCACAACATGTGGAGGAGATTTGCTAAGCATTGGAGGGGATGTGGAAGAATTGGAATGTGGCTGCGTGGGGCGTTCCATGAACGGCCTTGCCTTCGAGGATCGAAGGGGTTGTCATCTCTTCCCCGGCGGAAGGCGGCGGCAGGGCGGCGGAAGTGAAACGAGGCCGCCTCCGCCGGCGGAAGCTCGGCGGACGGTGGCGGGAGTAGAAAATGCGTCCCCAAGAAATGACAACGTTGTTTGGTACATGGTTTTCGGAATCGGACAGGCATGCACCAGAACACCGAGTCTATCCACGGTGACTGGATGAGCGGCACCCCAGCGCCATTTCCCGGCCCCTCGCGCGGCCGCCCATCTTGTGCGAACGGGGGGGCCGCCTCGCCTCGCCTCCCCTCCTCGCCTCGCCTCCCCGGTGAAACGAAAAGGCATTGAGCCCATTACTCTCAGGAGGGGAAAAGCACACAGACACAATTACCAGGAAAATATGGGAAGTGGGGGAGAAGACGAAAATCCCCAAATTATTGACAAATGACAGATGTAGGGAGTCCTGGGATCTGTGCGTATTCGTTTGCGCGTCCCTGGGCCCCTCCATGCTCGACGAGCGAGGGGTAGCGCTGTGGGCCCCCCCTCCCTCCTCCGCAGACTCTCCCCCTTCGCTGAGTTCAGAAAAGGCGGGTCGGCCGGCGGCGGGGGCGCGTCGGGAGCGAGCTCGGCACCCAGCCTGAGCGGGGAGGGCCGGGAGGGGGAAGGGGCGGGCGGGGCGGGGCCGCGGGCGGCCGGAGAGCGCAAGCGCTTCGGGATGTGCCGGGGGCAGGGCGTTTCGGGGAGGGGCAGGCCTCCTACCCCTGACACGTGGATCAGTGAGTGGGCTGTTTTCGGTTCGCGAGGGGGCGTCGCGGTCGTCGTTTTTGCGGGTCCAGGTCCGTCGGTTTCGGTCCCAGGCCGTTTTCACCAAGGGGAGGTCCACTAAAGGGAGGTTTGTCCAGCGCCGAGTGTTTTTCTTCGGCGCCTTCGAAGCAGTCGCTCTAAGAGGTTGTTCCCCGCCCGCGCACGCGCAGGGCGGGGGTCACCGGGGGAGGGGGGGAGGCTTCTTGCAAAGGAGACTGCTTCTCAGAAGGCGCGGGCCTTGCCTGTAGATGCAAGGCCGGCGCCTTCCAAGAAGCAGGCGTTCTAAGAAGTTGTTCCCCTCCCGCTATCACCCCTTGTCCGTGCCGCCAAAGTCCGCCGACCCCCAAGGAAAGCTTTGACAGGCTGGTTGGAAAGCGGGAGGTCAGAAGACGGACGTGGAGGGGGAGGAGGGCGAGGAGCAGCAAGGGTCGGGCCGAACAACAGGGGGGGACAGGGAAAGGGGGGGTACGCAATCTGCTGCATGCATCTGGTTTTGGCCCCGCCTCCTGGCCCATTCCTCGATAGATGGGCGCCTCCTGGCACCAGAAGGCGCCAGGCAAACCAGCTACATGAGTTGATTCTCTACCCTGCCTTTTACTATCCTGCCCTTTCGTCCCCCCCGAAAGGAGGCCTCGAGGCATCTGGAGGGTTTTGGGGGTTGCTTGGGAGCCTCTGGGGCGTCTCTTGGGGCATCTGGGAGTAGTCTGGGGGGCCTCTGGGGGCCCCTTAGGAGGGATTTGGGCCCCGGGGGAGAGGGAAAGGGGATGGGGACTGCCAAATTGTCCCACACGTGTTTCCGCCCCCTGCAAGCGGGGGCTTGGCGGATTTTCGGGGGCAGCGTGCTTTTCGGAGATCGATGTTTCACGCCTTCTTTTGTTTGCCAAGCCAGCCGTACCAATCCCGACCGGTCGACTCTTCTGTCGATGTTGGGCGTGGGGGGCGCGGGGCCCGGGGGCCCCCGAACGGTGTGGTGACTACACCTTGCAGTGAGTCGGTGTGGATTCGGGGGCACCGCACGGTTTTGGGACTCGAGGCCCTCTCCTAGGACGTCTCGGGCGACAGGGGCCTCCAGGGTCCCAAGACCGTGCGGTGACGGACCGTGCGGTGAGGTCCCTTGGGGTTCCGAGGTCACCGCACCGCCTGTCACCGCACCGTGTCGGGGGGTCCAAAGGGGCCAGGTGAGCGACGCAGGACAACGGGTTCGGCGCCGACAGTCGCGCGCAGGCTGCCTGCGCAAGGCCGCGTGGAGGTGACCTCGTTTCCGATGTGGCGTGCCGCACCGGCGGCCCTCGTGAGCTGCAGCGTCGCCGCCCGCCTCCGTTTTCTCGAGGGCGTAAAAGATACGCCCCGACCCTGGTTTTACGAGGCGCTGTGCGCTGAACCTCCTGTGGGCTGACAGGGTAAACCCTGCGTATCGCGCGTGCCGCGCGGCGTCCTGGCGGCTCTCTGGCCAGAGGGAGTTCCCAGGAGGTTTACTGACCATGGACTTGTAACCCAGGGTAGGGGCGTTGTTTCATTCCTAAAGTTTCGATCCTCCTCGGAGAGGTTGGGATGGAGCTGCCCTCCGCAACTGCAGGGGCGCGGTCAACCCTGCTGCCGCTAGCCAGTGCGCCATGCGTTCTCGGGCAGGTCGGCGCTCGAGTCTCCTTGTGCCGCTCCGACCCGTTCCCCCATCATGCTAGCTAAACAAGTAAGCAGGCTGCCACACCTCATCGTATGTGGGCAGCCTGGCAACCTCAGTCTTGGCCGCAGCCATAGCCTGAAGAATACCATTCAGCGGTTGGAATGGAACACAAGTCGACTGCAGCAACACATCAGCTCTCGCTAGCGGCATATCCTCCGTCCGGCCCGTTTCGCGAGGTTAGCCCGCAAGTCCGTGGTGGGCGAGCTCAAGAGGCCTCCCGCACTGCACAGTGGAGAGCGCGGATGAAGGGGAACAGGCTAGGACGAACGAAGAAGGATGAGTGAAGTGTGAGGAAAGAGGACTGAGCAAGAAGGAGGTGGAGGAGGAGGAACAGTGGCAGGAGACGGAGGGAGGGTCCGCGGCGTCGGGAGGCGGAGGAGCGAGGAAGGAGAAGGAACGAGGCAGGAGCGAAAACGAGGAATGCGGAAGGGGGAGTGAGGAGTGATGGGGTGGGTGAAAGAGGAGCAGCAAGAGGAGGGGCATCAGGCACATTCCGGCCGCGCGTGCGTCGCGCCGTTCCTGGTACAACTCTCTCATCCTCCCAATTCGTGGCGCTCTACATCCTGTCGAAGGCGTGCGTCCAGGAGGAGGAGGATCCAGGTGGAGCCTCGAATCATGACAAGCAGAACATAGGCCGACACGTTTCGGAAGAAGAGGATCGGAGCCAGGTTGATCCTCGAGGTAGAGTTCCCCAAACGATGTCCATACTGAAGAGACTAGTGTTTGGTATGTAATTGGCAAGTGTGTCCTGGGTTCCGCCCAGTGTGCACTCGTGGGCGCTTCGAGGGTGCTTCGTGTGGTGGTTGGAGTTTCTGGGTTCGGTGACCACCCTTTGTCGCTTCATGGGCGCATCGTGGGTGCCTTGTGTTTCCGGACAGTCGGTCGATGGGCGTTCTTGGTCGCCTCATTGACGCCTCGTGCGTTGGCTCGCGTGTCCAGGTGAGCATATTGATTGCGCAGCATAGCGTGCACCCGCATAGCTAGGAAACAATAGCATGCAGCACATAGTTTCCACCATGTAGCTTGCCAGACATTGTTGTGCGCAATCGATTGAACTATTTACATTGCCACTGTATACCATCGCTTGCACCACCACATCTACTTGTGGAAGACGGCCAATTGAGAGGAGGCATGTTTCCAAATAGTTTCCAGATGCCCAACACATGTTCAACAACGTTTCGTTCAAGTGCTATGGCAAGTCTTACCATTTGTTCGAAAATTTTCAACACACAGAACTGTGTTAGAACGTCATTTTCAATTTAATGATAGAACGATTAGAGTGTCCATTGTCACGTCATCCACAATCATACATTGCATCACTCACATCGCATGATTTTAGAAGTCAGCGCATCTGTTGCATACACATTGCGCCACGTTTGTGTCCATGCTGGCAGACGTCTACTGCCACACATAGTTACCCCCGATGAAGATGAGACTAATCATTTTGAGCGTCGGCGACTCGTAATGATGATAAGCCCAGCCCCGACGAAAAACGATAATACGAATAATAACAGTAAACGTAAGATAATCGAGGAGGGTGCTGATGATGATGAGGATGAGAAAGAGGAGGAGGAGGAGGAGGAGGAGGAGGAGGAGGAGGAGGAGGAGGAGGAGGAGGGTGAGGAGGAGGAGGAGGGGGAGGGGGAGGCGCAACTAATTTGGTTGACAATGGGGAGGAGGTGGAGGAGCAGCAGAAGGATGAGGGGAAGAGGGAGGAGGCAGGAGGAGAAGGGGAGGGAAGGAGGAGGGAGAAGGAGGAGGGAAAGAGCAGTGGGAACACGGACAACTAGGTCTCAGGAGGGTCTTCGAGGCAGCCCGAGCCCCGGGGCGTGTCGACCGAGAGTGTCGACATGTCAGGTAGACGGCCGACGGACTCGTGAAATCCACTAGAAGGGTGTACCCCAGGCCAACGGGGGCGTGCCGATGCTGAGTGCAGGGCGAGCGAGTATGCTGCCCATTCGCTCGCGGGGGCCGCGATTCCTTTTCGACTCGCTTCGATTCACCGGCGGCGCGGACATGGCCAAGCCCGCGCCGGGCTCGGCGGTTCGATGTCGGCTTGATCTTGCACGATCCGTTGGTCGTCTGATCTGCTTCCGATCAAGCTGGATCCGATCTCGCGAGTCGATCCAGCTCAGGCCTGCCCCGAGCTCCAGCTTCTGTCGTTGGGGCCACTGCTCGAGGGGGTGCCGGCTTCGGGTCGTGTCGCCCAGGTGTTTTGTCCGGGCACAAAAACATCGAGGGGGTGCCGGGCTGCACTCGTGAGCCCCCAGAGGAGGCGAGCACACCCTCCAGCGCGGGCCTTCGGCGGCCCTCGGTGGACATCGACACCACTGACGTCGCCCTCGGTGAGCCCCGGTGGCTTCTGGCTGCCGAAGCGTTGACGCTCTCCTCCCTCCACCCTCCACCGCTCGTCGTCGTCCTCCTCCTCATCCTCCTCCTCCTCCACCTCCTCCTCCTCCTTCTCCCTCCCACCTTCCCTCCCTCCCTCCCTCCCCTCCCCTCCTCCTCCCTCCCCTCCCTGCCCTCCCTCTCCCAGCGGAGAGGCCGTGGCTCGTGGACCGCGACCGCCGCAGCGACGTCTACGTCAGCGTGGCGGTGCTCCGGGCGGCGGACGCCACCGTGCTCGCCGGCGTGCAGGAGGCTCCCCGGGGGCCTTCGGCGGCCCCCTCGGCGGCCGTCGGTTGGCATCGGGTGGCTCCCGTCGTATTAGTCATCCGTGTCCTTGCGCCCAACCTCCCTCCGCCTCCTGCTCCCTCCTCTCCTTTTCCCACTCCCTCCCGCTGCTCTCCTCAGCCTCCTCCTCCTTCCTGCTCCTCTCCCTCGCAGGGCGGCGGGGGAGAAAGGAGGAGGCATGACGAGGGAAAGGATGGGGGAGGGAGTAGGGAGCAGGGAGCAGGGAGGAGGCCTTTGGAGGAGGGGAGGCAGGAGGAGGAGGGGAGGAGGAGGAGGAGGGGCATGAGGAGGAGGAGGAGGAGGAGGACGGGAGGAGGAGGAGGAGAAGGAGGAGGAGGAGGAGGAGGAGGAGGAGGAGGAGGAGGAGGATGGGGCGCAGAAAGGGCGCAGGAATCGGATGAGGGAGGGAGGGAGCATCAGGCGGCGGAGTCGCCGAGGCCTCCCCCCACGCATGCCTTGCCTCCGCGCCCCCCGCCCCCGACGACGACGATGACGATGACGACGACGATAACGATGACGACGACGATAACGATGACGAAGACGACGATGACGATGTCGTCGTCGTCGTCGTCGTCGTCGTCGTCGTCGTCGTCGTCGTCGTCGTCGTCGTCCCGCAGGTGGCGTCCTTCACCTCCTCGGCGGAGGAGATGGTGGCGAGCTGCAACGGCTCGCTCGGCACAGGCGCGCGCCGCCGCCCCGGCGGGGGGCGCGGGCCGAGGGCGGCCCGCCCCGCGGGGGGGGGCCCGGCGCCCGCGGGGCGCGGGGCGGCCCCCCCTCCCTCCGAGAGCGGGCGAGGGGGGCGGAGCCGCCCTGCGGCTCGGAGGCGAGCGCGCGCACGGGCACTGCGCGTGGGGGGGGGGGGGGGCGGGGCGAGGGGGGCGGAGCCGCCCTGCGGCTCGGAGGCGAGCGCGCGCACGGGCACTGCGCGTGGGGGGGGGGGGGGGGGGGGGCGAGGGGGGCGGAGCCGCCCTGCGGCTCGGAGGCGAGCGCGCGCACGGGCACTGCGCGTGGGGGGGGGGGGGGGGGGGCGGGGCGAGGGGGGCGGGGCGCACGGGCCCTCCGCGGCGGGCGGGGGGGGCGGGGCCGCCCCGCGGCTCGGAGGCGAGCGCGCGCGCGGGCACTGCGCGTGGGCGCTGCGCCGGCGAGAGGGCCACGGGCCAGGGTCGGGGCTCTTAAGAGACGGGGGTCAACGCAAACGGGGGTCAGCCAGGGCACCAGATCCGGCAGGATCCTGCGAAGACCCCCTTCTGGCTGACCCGGGTTAGCGAGCCGCTCGTGGCCGCGAGGAGGCCGCGCATATTGGCTTCGGGTTTGCGAAGACCTGCGTTGCAGTTTTTGTTCCTGCATTGCGGTTGTTTGGTTTCCTGCTGACCCGGGTCTGGATTGACCCGGGTCAGAAGATCCCCGACAGGGGCAGGTCATCCCGCCCGATGCCATGCGGTTTGGCCCAATCCTGGGCGTCATCCAGGCCTCCTCGAAGGAGAACAGCAACACACAAGCACAAACTTTTGGCGGGCTCAGTAGCCCTCCGTCGACTGCTTACGCAGACTTCCCAGGATGAATCTCGGTCTTGCGAAGACCTCCCACGAGTTGCTTCCGAACCCACCCTCAGGGACAACGACAAGGGGGTGGATAGGCCCAGGGGAGGGTGCGTCGACCCCGAGTCGCCCGCTGACCGTCGATCGGGAGGGTCTAGCGGCCCCACCCCGCCCAGGAGGGCGCGGATCTGTACTTGAGGACCTGTCGCCGATCTGTCGGCCATGCACCGCCGACTCCACAGGTCTGTGCTTCTCCCTCCCCGAGCCGGCCCCTCTCCCGACCGTCGCCAACTCCACGCCTCCGTGGCGGGCGAGGGGCGGTGACGCCCTGCCGCTTGGAGGCGAGCGCGCGCGGGCGCGGGCAGGGGGCGCGGGCACGTGCGTGGGCGGGAGTGAGGGGGCCTGGTCCTGATGGGGATGAAGGCGAGGCCCCTTCAGGGCCACTTTTGGGCCCCTGCCGGCTCCCAAAGGGGCCCCGTTGGGGTCCCGTTCTGCACCCCACTCAGTGCCACCTGCCCGAGGTGGAGGAGAGGGGGCTGCTCGGCAGGCTGCCTGCGCCGCACCTCCCTGCTCGGGCGGGCACCGGCTCTGCGCCCTGCACCGATCCTGGCCAGGGCGCTCCCGGGCGCCGCGGTCGGCGCAGGGGCCCTCCCGGCCCGACGCCAGAGGGGGGCCCTGTGCACCGATCCTGGGCCCGGGGCGGACCTGGCCAGGATCGGCGCAGGGGTGCGGTTGCGCCGTGAGCGCCCACCCGGTGTGGACAGACCCGCCCCCCCCCCCCCCGCCAGCCGCAAGCTCCGCATCGGCGCGCAGCAGGGCCCCGTGCCAAGAGAAGCCCTGCTCGCCTCCAGGGTGCCCATGCCGCTCCCCTGCGCCCGTGTTCCCCCTTCTCGGGCCTCCTGGGAGGCCCTCGTCGCCACGGCCGGGAGCGCCTCGGAGTTTTGGTCAGAACGCACGCCGGGAGAGATCGATGCAGGAGAATCGACGGTCGGCGGGGGTAGGCCACCTAAAAGTCCAAGGCGGCGCCGCGGGCCGCGCCGCGCCACGGGGCGTCCGAGAGGCGGGTGTGATGACCAGGGGGTAGGCGGTGGTTGGACATCATGCCAGGGGCCATGATGCCTCCCTTTGAAGCCAAGCATGCCAGGTAGACCGAGTACACAGTCGTTCCTTGCCTCCGCCTCCTCCTCCTAATTCTCTTCACGGAGCCTTCGCGAGCGCGCTCGGGGGAGCGCTGCCGCCTCGGTAGTCTCTTGACGTGGTAACAAAAATACAGCCCTCCTTTCTCCACCCCCCTCCCTGGTAAGGCTTCGGCCTGTGGGCCGTGCGCGACGCGATCTTCCTTGTTGGGGGGCGTGGGGGAGTGGCCACGGCCTTCTGGCAGCTTGGGATAAGACGCACACATGCGCGCACGTACGCATATGCCTCAATAGGCACCTGATTCACATATGTCTTGTAGGCGAGGTTGGCATCTTGTTCAGGCACGTGCGACGCTGCTCACGCGTCTGGCCTTCGTACTTGAGCTGCTCTCGCCTGGCCGCGGCTGCGAGTGCGCTCGCGGCAGCACTCAGTGATTGGCTTATGCTCAAAGCTCGTTGTGGTGTGCTCGCTGTGCTTCCGCGTGCTGCTTCGATCAGTTCGAGGGCCAGCAGCTCCAGTGGTTGCTCTGGGTCTCGCCCGTGGGGCGAGGACGGGCACGTGGCGCTCGTCATTTGTGTCGTGCCGGTGTGGATCCGCACGGTGCTGTTTTGACACGGCGTGGCAGATTCGGTCCACACGCACGCACACACACGCACACACACACGCACACACACCGTTCAACCTCTCCTGCCCATTTTTGAATGATCGCTGGGCGAAGCAATACTGAATGCCGTCACCCGCGTGAACAGCATCGCCGTTCTTGGGGCCGCGATTGAGTTCCTCCGCGTCTGCTACTCGGCCCGGCGTTTAGTCAGGCCACTGTTGGGGCGTGTGCGACGTTGTGTTGCGCATGTGTGCCGCTGATGGGCTGTACGAAGTCCACTCAAGATGTGGGGAGAAAGCAGGGGTCCCAGACAAGAGAAAGCCAGCACAAACAGTAAAACAAACAGGAGGCCCAGTGGCCAGTCCACCCTCGCCGCCGTGACGCGCAGTGGCGGATACGTTCGTGGAGGGACGCCACCGAGGCATCAGCAGCGGTTCGCGATCGTGCGATCGATGTGCCCCTCTCGTTGCTCCAAAGACTGCACGCGGACTGCGGCTTGTCCTGTGCATGTGCGGTGCCTACCCCGCGGACTGCAGTCGGCGGGCCGCTGGTGCGCGCGTCCTTCCCTCAGGAAGGAGAGGCGGCACCACCACCACCAGGGGAGCACCTCCAGCGAAGCGAGGGGGTCCACGATGGCTCCCCGAGCTGGGGATAGGGGTGCCTCGAGCGAGAAGGGGGGATCACGTCACCAGGATGACCCTCTCTGGTGCCTCGCGCTGGTGCTGGCGTCGCCTTCCTTTGTTCCTGTCGCGCATCTCTGGTGCCAGCTCCGCCTGTGCCCGCGCCCAGTTTCGGAGGTCGAGAACACGCCGATGATCTGGACGGGAATGGGGGAGAGCCTCGGCATGTCAGCAGTGGGGGAGCGCCACTGTGCCGCAGCATGCGGTCGTGGCTGCAGTGGGGAAGTTGCTCGTCGGGGTGGCTGCAGGAGGTGTTCGGAGGAGCTCGGTTCCTTCACGATGCAGGCCCGTGGACACCTGATCTGGAGCATGGGAGACGGAAAGAAGGGAGTCTAGGAAGACAAAACGGCATGATCATAGACATTCAACGGTCCGCGCGGATTTCTTGGATCTGCGCTGGACCCTCCTCCATGGCGCGCGGCGCCGCCAGGGGTGTACAGCGCAGATCCAAAAACACGCGGACAGTCGACAGTTTGTGTTTATCTTGTTTTTTCTTGTTCTGGGATGGGGCGGGGGAGGGGGAGGAGGAAAGGGAGGAGGCGGGGCGGTGGATGACATGCTGCCACCCCCGTATCGCGCCTCCGTCTTCTGCCACTCCTCTTCCCTCCTGTTGCTCACCTACCCTCCTTCGTCCCCCCTCCCCCTCCTGGGGGGACGGGAGGAGGGAAGGGTGATGGGGAGGAGTCAGGGAGAGGCAGAGAGGGAGGATGGGCGGTGGACGACATGCTGCCACTCCTGCCTCGCGTCGCCCCCCTTCTGACCCCTGGGGGTGTGCAGTGTCTCCCACCCCTTGCTCTTGCTCTGCTTCTGCAGGATGGGCCAGTGCACTCAAGTAGGAGATCGACTACAACATATATCAACCCACACATTGTTGTCGTTTGTCGAGGCAGCAAAATTCATAGACTGCTCAGCGGTTCTACTAACATTCATTCTACGGTTTTTTCTCACAGATTCGACGAGCAAACCACTCTTGGGATGACTCCGGGACATGTACTGCTGGCAGCGCGTGGAGCGAAGGCATGCCCGCCCAGTTTCCTCCCTCCGTGAGCCGGTCCCCCCGTGACCTTGACCACATGTCCTCCTCACCCTCCCTCCCTCGCCCCCCCCCCCGCTCACTCACTCAAGCAGTGGCGAGGCGCCCCAGCTTGCCCACAGACCCACCGAAGAGTGTTCTAAGAACGCTCTCTGGTTTGCACGGACTGTTTCTGAAACGCGTTTGGTTGAGAGCGTTTGGTTTTATCACATCGGCTCCTATGTTCTAGGAACGTTGCTCCGGTTTGGGAAGCATTCTTGTTCTAAGGACATTTCGTGGTAGGCCTGTCGGAATGCCGGGACGGCCGGTCCTTGCCGAACCCTCACGACGGCGGCGACGGGGAGGAACAGCCAGAACCCGGTGTTCCACTCGTGGCTGCATTTCCCGGGCGTGGACGCCAGCAGCGAGGCGCGCTTTCGCGCGATCGCGGCGGGCCTCGGCGTCGGCGCCGTCGTCAGCGCTCGGTGGCTCAAAGATGGGGCCCTGCGGGATGGGGGTCGTCCGCGCGCAGAGGGGCGGTAGGGGGAAGGGGGGAAGGCCTCTCAGAAGCACCCCTCACCACCCACCGAACCACCCCAACCCAACCCGAAGGCTTCAATTCGCCCTCGATTTCCAGTGGGGGGGGTCGGGGAACGTTGAAAAAACACATATGGAACCCGTACCCCCCCAAACCCGAAATTCGAGTCAAATTCGGGTCTTCGGGTCGGGTTGGGGTGGTCTGGTAGGTAGTCAACCCCTGCTTCTTAGAAGGCGCGGGTCTTGTCTGTAGATGTAGGGCCGGCGCTTTCCAAGAAGCGGCCTCCTCCCGGGAAGCCTTCCCCCCTCCCCCTACGTCTTTGTGCGCGCCGCCAAGGGGACCCTGAGGATAGGATGGAATCCAAGATTGGATTTACATTGGTCGAGGCATCTCGTGCTTAGGGCCCCATCCCATCGGCCGTGCAACAGCGTGCGGAAGCGTCTGGTCATTGATGAGGAAGCGCCGATTTAGCGTCGACTAGCGTCGAATAGCGTCGATTCGTTTCGGTTGGCGTCGATTCGCGAGAGCCAGCAAGGTGGCATGGGAGGCTCCCATGAGTTGCCACCGATCAGCCGCACACAGGTCGAAAAACAAACAATTGCATATACATATGCCCATCGGTAGTCGAAAGTGCTTACTTTTGATTTCCACATTCTAACCTACTTGGTCAATGGTCAATTGGTCAATTGGTTTACCCTGTTTCTTCCTTTTGAGGGGCCGACTGATTGGTGGATTCGGTGCTCTGCGCAGAATTCTTGGATCGGCGTTTGACCCCCCTGGCGGCGTTTCCAGCGCCGCCCCTGGCGCAGTTCGCGCGCCAGGTGGGCGGGTCCAGCAACGACCCAGGAAATCCGCGCGGGCCTCTGCATGTTTTTGTGTATGTAGTTTTTGTTTCTCTAGATGGACCTCGCCCGAAACAAGTTTTCCATGAACCCGCGCAGCAGGGAGGTTTAGACGACTGGGTGCCAGCGGGGAGGGCGAGCCTCCCTCCCTGCTCCCTGCTCCTGCTCCTCCTCCCCCCTCCCTTTCCTCCCTCGTCGCCTCCCCCCTCCTCATTCCTCGCCCCTTCCCCTATCCTCTCGTCTCTATCCTTCCTCCCTCCCTCCTAACTCCCCCTCCCTCGCTCCTCGCTGCTCCCTCCTCCGCATTCCCTAGTCCCTATTCTCCTTAACCTCCTCTTCGATTCCTTATCATCTTACTCCTTCTCCTCCGTCCCCCTTGCGCGCGCGGGTCCCACTTGTGACTGCTGGGCTCGAGATTCGCCACCCATCCTGAAGCGTATCCATACTTTCCAGCCCCAGCCTGAGATATGCTCTAGACTCTAGACGCCCAGTAAACCTACTCGACGGGGCCACAGACAACCCTAGGTCAGGACCCTTGTGAGCCCATTCGGCGTCTGTGCCCACTCGGTCAGGAGCCTCGGTCACCCCAGGAGGCGCGCAGGTCGTCGTGCTTCGCGCGTTGCGGCCTCGACCGAAGAGCTCCCCTTCACCAACTGTGGCCTCACGAGGGGCGAGAATGACCGCGCATCGCATATCGCGAGGCGCGATGCTCGGTGCTACAGTAAACCCGCATAGTAAGGATGGGCAACTCTCCCAAGGGTGCCCTCGCATCCTTGCCTCCTCGGTCCATCCTTGGCCACTTTCGCTGGCCGCGCCCCGCTCGCAAGGTATCGGCATGGCCTTCCAAGGCCCTTGCATCCTTACCGCGCATCCTTACTATAATGGTTAACTGTAGGTGAATTAGAAGAGGGGGCTTGCGTCGCTGCAGTGGAGGTGGGCGCAAATGTCGACCGACCGTGCCGTCGCGACGGCACAGCCTACCTAGCGCGGGGTGAGCAAACACCGGTGCCGACTCCGCCGTCGAGGGCGCGACCGCCCTTAGCATACCTGTGCTTCCAGACGGCGACATCACGGAGAAGGGGTCTGCTGCCTCTCCCCCACGCCCGGCGAGTGAGGGGGGGGGGGAAGAGAAGGACGAGGTAAGGTCGACGGCAATGGCGTCGACGATGAGCGGCGCCCGCTTGGGAGCCGCGCGACCCCCCAAGCTGCTCCTCCTGGACTGCCGCCTGATGGACTACGACGAGTGCCCCACTGGCGGGGGGTCTGCGTGGACACGACGTGTCAGGAAGTCTGCGGGTCAGCTCTGGTACGACAGCTTTGTATCGCGCGGGTGTTCAAGATTGAACGTTACCAGCTGGCCGCAATCGGCCGACACGGAACGATCTGGCGATCGAAAGCCCGCCGATCGTTCAAGGTTAAACCGTCCATGCGGCGGTGTTTAGCGCCAGCGCTGGGGCCGTCATTGCACGCACTTGCCGCAGTTTGAGCGGTCCCTTTGCAGGGCAGAGGCCATACACATCGAGCAAGCAGGAGAGAGGTATGATGTCCGCTGTGTGTCGGGTGGGCCTGGCGGTGGTGCTCCGTCGCCGCCTCGTTGGGTTGCACAAATGTGGTGTTCCAGAGATACCACACGCACAATTCAGGAACGACGACAAGATGCGCACGTGCATGACGTTTCGCAGAATTCGACAGCACACCTTGCGCGAACGTTCGTTGCACGAATCTTGCCTCGCGGATCCCCCCCTTCGATCGACCACAGAACGCAATCTTCCGCATGCTTGTGTACGTGTATGCATGCATGAATGAATGAGTGAAGAGATACATGAGCGCAAATGCGTATGTGGATCTGCACACATTGGTAAAGGCCACGACGCCACAGCCCCCCTGAAGTGCTGCGGACTCCGACGGTCAAGAACTGTCACATGCCATGCCCGGAGTTCGTGCTCCAGCGCATGGCCAGGTGCCCGCGCCGTCAGCTGGCTCCACACGCGGGGCTCCACGCGCGGAAGGGCGCCGCGAAGGAGACGGGTCCAGAGGGGAGAGGGCTCCCGGAAGCTGCCCGTGGTCCTCGGGCGACGGGCCCCCATCCACGGGCCCGGGGACGTGCAGAGCTCGTCTCGGGCGCAGGGCCTCGGGGCCCTGAGGCCCTCTCCCTGAGGGCCCCGCTGGCCCATGCCCCGAACTCGTGTCCGCGCGCGCGTGGTTTCTCGCACCAAGTCGGATTCCACGTTGCTCGGGCCCCCTCGTCTCTGGCATCGGCGGGGGCCCAGAGTTGGGCCGGGACTTCTTCGAGGTGTTGACCCTTCCGTGCCCTGGATCCTCGATGCTCGATTCTTCTCCTTCCCTATGCCTTTCCTCACTGGACGCAGCACCTTGACGTGCCCCGATCCTGGCCAGGCTGATCCCCGATCCAGAATTGTTGTTCACATGCCGTTCTTGCCAGGCCAGGAGGGCGTGTACGCCAATCCTTCGCCAAGTAGAGGCCTGGCCAGGGTGTCCTCTCCGCTGGCCTGCACAGCGCCCAAGATTATCACGCTGCTCCGCGAGGTCTAACGACGATCCCGACCTGATGATCGACTGCGAGACAATCCCGAAGTGTTGACGAGCCCGAATTGTTGAAGACAGTCCGAGAGCCTCGTGCGGTCACGTCTTTTGGACCGACCTGCATACATTATACATGCCTACGGCGACCGTTGGCCGCCTGTCGGCCTCGGACGTGGGAGTCACGAGTTCTGCCACCGCGACCGCGCCAGCCAGGTGAGCACACCGCCGAGGCGACGTGGCAGCGCAGAGCCCTGGCGCGAGAGGGCGTGCGTGGCGAGCTCGAGGAGCTCGGCCTCGTCCACGCCACGGGCGCCCGCGCCCCCGCAGGCGGCCGTCGTGCAGAAGACTGCCCCGGGCCGCCGCGCGGCGCCGCGGAGGGAGGCACCGCCCGCGCCACGGCGCGGGCGCGGCGGGAGCGCATCGGCGCGGCGCTTTCCGAGCGGGGCGCGTGCGCGCGCGCCCGGCCTCACCGCGGCCCCGGCACGACGGAGGGCGCCGCCGAGCCGGGAGCCGCGGCGTCCGGCGCGAGCCCCGCCCAGCAGCCGGCGCCGCTCGGGCGGCCGAGGCGCGGGCTCGAGCGCCCTTCGGCGCCAAGGGGGCCGGCGCCGGGGCGGCAGCCCTGGCGAGACGGGAGGGGGGAGGTCACACCCGGCGCCGGGCAGGCGGCGCCTGTGGCGGGGCCCAGGCCGGCCGGCAGCTGCAGTAAACGAGCGCCGCGAGCAGCGGGCGCTCTCTTCCTCGATCAAGGCCTTCGTCCCTACCCTCACTCCCCCTTGCCTCCCCCTTTCCCTCTTCCCTCCCTTTAGTTACTCCCCTTACGCCCTTCACTCTTCCCTCCCCTTCCTCCTCCTTGCCCTCCTTTTCCCTCTTCCCTCTTGCCTTCCGTGCGGCACTCCTTTTACGCGCGCCTGCGTGCCAGGTCTGTAGCGCCTCAGGCATGCGCTGTTTTTCTTGCCGCGTGCGTTTCGCCGCACTGATTCGGGTCGTGCGCGTTTCGCAGGGGTCAGGCTTTGTCCACCCTGGCCAGCGCCAGCAGGTACATCGTGCAAGTGTGAATGCGTTGGCCTATCTGCGGTGTAAGGCTCACCCCGGTGGTGTCCTCCGCCCACGGAGGTGTGTCAATTGTTTCCCTGCCCTGGATCTGCGGCGTCCTCCCTCCTCGTCCTCCCTGTCTTCCCCTCCTCTTTCCTTTTCTTCCTTCCCCCCCGTCCCTCGCGTGCCAGGCGCGTGCACAATTGCACGGCTGGCACGCGCAGCACTCTGCATTCATCGAGATGGCACCGCTGCACGTCGGCCAGGGCCCCGGGCTGGTTACAGCTGGGCAGCTCTTCCGATGAAGTCGGAGGTGCCGTGTTTCCGCACGGCAGAGACTGGTTGTAAGGCCAGCAGGTGCTCAGGGAGCCGTGTCGCCACCCCATCCTTTCCCTCCCTCGTCGTGCCCCGCTCGAGGTACACGCGGAGTGACCCGATCGGGCAAGCCATGGCGCGCCCCTCCCGCGGGGGCAGCCGCCCCCCCCTCCCCTCGGGCTGGGGGTGGGGCATCGCCGGGCACCGTCATGTAAGAGATTGGGGAGTGCACGGAGTGGGCGATCGGGGTTAAAGAGCAGAAGGGGAAGCAAGAGGAGGCATAACCCCCCACAGAGGAGGAAATTCGGTGGTTGATGGACCTCCTACCCTGACACGCCGATTAACGAATTGGCCGTTGTCGGTTCGCGAGAGGGCGTCGCGGCCGTAATGTTTGCGGGTCCAGGTCCGCCGGTTTCGATCCTAGGCCGTGTTTGTTAAAGGGAGGTTGGCTAAAGGGAGGTTTGTCCACCGCCGAAAAGGAAGGATTAGGGGGGACGGAGGGAGAATGAGGAGATTAATGACAAGAGGGATGACATCGACGAGTTTTGCAGGAGTTTTGCGCCACGCGTCCATGTGAGGACACTCAGGCCATCCCCGAGCCAGACTATACACGGCTGTAGCTGACAGTGTTTACGTTTGCTGTTATTGCCTTCTCGCATGAGGTGATTCGTGCATTGCAGTTAAAACGTGCCTCGCTCGATCCTCCAAAATGCCTTGTCGCACGGGCTGATCCTTGCACTGTAGCTGAGATACTTCTCGTCCGATCACTCCAACAGAGAGCTGCCACTGCCCCCACTGTTGCCACTGCCCTTTTTGTGCATCCTTCGCAGTGTAGCTGATGACGTGCGCTCTCGAGCTCCAGTTTTGTCTCACGCTTCACGCAGGTGGCTGGTGTGCATCTTCGCGCACGTTTTGCTAGCACTGTACGTTATTGTGTCGGGTTCCAATTTCGCCCTCCCCATCTTTAGAGCGTCGGGCTCTGACTTTGCCGTCCCCCTGTGGTTTTGACAAGCTTCAGAGCCTTTTGCGTTTGCTCACCTCGCTCGGTAGCATCTGAGTCGGATGCCACTGCTCGCCTTTCTCGCACGGGCTGCTTCCGGCGCTAGCACCCCACGCCGTGGCCTGTGTAGCTGATGGCGTCTGGCTCCAGCTTCACCTCCGACGGCCTGCGCTCGCTGCCGCTGCGCGCCCCCACTTGCAGTCTTCCACCCTGATGTCCCGGCGCTTGGGCGGAGCTCGTGGGGCGGGCCTGGCTCTCCTTCGCCTCTCCGCCTTCGGCTCACATGCCGTGACCCGCGTGTCGCTGACGACGCCGGCCTCCCTCTCGCTCGGCGGCGGGCCACCACCGTCCTCGATCCGTTGACATTGCCTGCCTTCCGCGCACGCCGTGGCCCGGGTGCCAGAGCGGATGGCGCGGGGCTGCACTCCGCCTCTCCGCCTCGCTTCGCTGGCCGCTCGATGTCTTGCGCCCACGGTCGCTCACGACGTCGGTGAGAATGAGCGGAAGGCGGGCTCCTGCGGGTGGGCGGAGCTCGCACTGGAGGGTGCGCTGCGCGTCGCTCTCGTGGTGACGGGGAGAGGGCGCGAAGGGCGGGAGGAGCGAGAGAGGGTGAGAAGAAGAGGACGTCATCAGGCGCTCGTGCCACGGCGAAGCTTGCCTCAGCGTTGTGGTTGGTGACGTCTGGCTCCAGCCTTCTTTCTGGCGCTCTGGCAGCAGTTCCGCTCCCGAGTCGAGAAACTCGGCCCCCGCCTGAGAGGAATGGTTTGAGCCGAAAGGGCCATACGCGGCACGGCTTGAGCCACAGTGGCCCGAGGGCACGGAGGAAGAGGGAGGAGAGTGAAGGGAGGAGGCGATCGGGAAGGGCGAGGGGAGGAGGAAGGAAGGGAGGAGGAAGGGCAGGGAGGAGGCAGAGGGGAGGGGAAGGCCGATAGGACGGGGAAGGGGAGGGCGGGGGCGGGGAGGGCGGGTCGGCGCCGCGCACGTGGGGTTGTGGCTCGAGGGGGGGGGGAGGGGGCGGCCTTCCTGGACGGCGGGCGGCCTTCCCAGAAGCGCCCGGCCGCCTCTACGGAGGCCACTTGGCGGGGGAACGTACGACTCGGGTACGCCGGAGCTCGGGTGTGCCGACTCGTTTTCGGACGAGCGCGTCCTGGATGTTGGCGGTCCCGTTCTCGTGGGATGTCTGCAGCGGGAGCCCGCGTCAAGTTTCAGATCGGGTCGCGTCATTGTCGTGATGGCCCCCCGTCAGGCCAACCCGAGTTCCCCGAACTTGGAGGCCGGGAGGGCCTCCAGGAAGGCACTTTCTGTGGTCAGAGCACGACGCGGTCTTGTTGCAATTCAGGCTGGAATTTTTGACACTGTTTCTCCCACGGGAGGCTTGTAAGCTCTGTGTCGTATGGCCCTGAGGCCAGGACAGATGCTGTATGTCAACAGTGCTGGAGTTGGGCTCCCCCGACCTCCTCTATCCCCCCTCCCGCCTGTTCGGATGCAACTCCTGGGAGGTCAAATTCTGAGTTTGCCCTGTTCCGAAATCTGGCTTAATCCCGCTTGATCCCGCCCAATCCGTCTTAATTCCGCTTGATCCCGCTTAATCCGGCCTAGTCCGAGGCCCGCTCTGGCGTAACAGCCCCCCAATGGGGCTTTTTCCTTTTTAATCCTTCCGACGAAAACCTCCCAGTAGTTGACTTCGCGCCTGGGTGCGCCCCTCGGGGCACCTGCTTCCTCAGAAGAGCCTTAGAGCCTTCCCTCTAAGAAGGCAACCGCCTGCTTAGGAGACCCCCCTCCTGCCTCCTCCTCCTCAGGAGGCCACCGCCCTCGCGCCCGCCCCCCACCTCCTCCTCCTGTGCGCGCCGCCGGGGGGCGGGGGAAGCCGACGGAGGAGCAGGAGCGGGAGGAGGTGGAGGCCCCCCTGGAGCAGGAGGGGGCGGGAACTGCGAAGACGGATAATGATGAGGCGCTGGGAGGAGGAGGAGGAGGCGGAGGAGGAGGCCACAGAAAGAGCATGAGGCGAAAGGAGGAGCAGGAGGAGGAAGAGCAGGAGGCGCAGGAGGAGAGGGAGGGGGAGGGCCAAGCAGGTGGCCGTCTCCGACCTCAGGGAGAGCGAGGACACGGTGTGCAGGGTGACCCTGGTCCCAGGCCCGCGCCTCCCCGCAGCGGTGCCCGGCGGCCGCCAGCAGGAGAGGGAGGAGGAACAGGAGGAGGAGGAGGTGGAGGAGGAGGAGGAGGAGGAGGAGGAGGAGCAGGAGCAGGAACAGGAGGAGGAGGAGGAGCAGGAGAAGGAGGAGGAGGAGGAGACGGGAGGAGGAGGCGGAGGGAGGAGGCGGAGGAGGAGGCGGAGGAGGAGGAGGCGGCGGAAGAGGAGGCGGAGGAGGAGGCGGAGGAGGAGGAGGAGGAGGAAGGAGGAGGAGGAGGGGAGGAGGGGGAGGAGGAAGAGGAGGAGGAGGAGGAGGCGGCGGAGGCGGCGGAGGCGGAGGCGGAGGGGGAGGCGGAGGCGGAGGCGGAGGCGGAGGCGGAGGTGGAGGGGGAGGCAGCGGAGAAGTGGGAGGAGGAGGAGGAGGAGGAGGAATAATACTACTAACCAGTAGCAGAAGCAGGAGCACACGCAGAATAAGCACAATCATAAGAAGACACATTATTATAATAATATTAATAATACAACTCATAATAATACTACTAATAATAATAAAACTAATACTAATAATACGCATAATAATAATAACTAATAATACATAATAGATAATAAGGAGAAGAATAATAATGAATAATATTAAATAAATAAATAGTAATAATACATATTAGATAATTAATAATCATAAATAATAATGATAATACATAATAATACTAACTAATAATACTAAGGAGAATAATATGAATACTACTAGCAAGCATAGTAAGACTGATACTACTAGTAGTGAGACTACGAGTAATAATAGTACTAGTAAGACGACTACGCATAACGATACATGTTAGTAATCAGTTGAAGCATAAACAGAGCACTCAGGCGCGTAATAATACTACGAATCAGAAGGCTACGAACAATACTACAATAATAACAGCATTAATACGAGTAGTAATAGTACGAATAATAAGTATGCTACTAATAAGAATGATACGAATAATGATAAGACGGATAATCATCATACTAATAATGATAATTTTAAGAAGAGGAGGGGGAGCAGAAGGAGGAGGAGGAGGAGGAGAAGACGAGGAGCCCAGACCGGGGGGGGCAGCCGAGGCGGCGGCGGCCCTGCCTGGCGTGATGCACCAGGGGAGGAGGCAGAGAGCCACCACCAGCCAGCCATGGGGGTCCAGGGAGGAGAAACGCATCCATGCCTCTGCCCTTCGCCCGACCCCGGGATCGGGGGCACCGACAGGGGGGGGATAGGCACAGCGGGGGACGCATCGACCCCCAGTCTCCCATTGATCGCCGGTGGGGGCCCGATAGCCTGCCCAGGAACGTACTGATTCACCATCGGAGGCCTATCGCCGCCGGTCCATCGGCGATGTATCGCCGATTCCAGGTCGACGTTTCCCCCCCTATTCCTGTCCCCCCCTACCCTTGCCCCTCGCAGGAGAGGTCTGGGGAGCAGCGGTATCGGTGCAGGTTGGTTTCCCCAGGGGGGGGGGGGCGGCCGCTCCCCCGCCCCCCGAGATGGCGGCACCCTCCGCTCTGGGCGCGCCCCCAGAGGGTGCCCGCATCGGAGGGTCACCAGCTTGGGGGGGGCGGCCTTTTTCGGAGGGGGATAGCTCTTACGCTGGCACGTCGATTGAGGAATTGGCCGTTTTCGGTTCGCGAGAGGGCGTCGCGGCCGTTTTTTGTTTGCGGGTCCAGGTCGTCTGTTTCTGTCCTAGGCCGTTCTCATTGAAGGGTGGTTTATTACAGGGAGGTTTGTCCACCGCCGACTTTTGGGCATGGAGCTCCATGGAGTTCTGGTGGTGGTGGCGGCCCTTCTAGCTTCCATGAGTTATTCGTTACGCAGCACCCCTCAGATGCGGATACAAGAGTGAGGGGGCAGTGGGGGCGTCGGCAGTCTGCGAGATTCTGAAGAGGCCCGCCCCAGGCGCCAAAGTTTCACAGATTATACAACAGGCCCGCCGCAATCGCCGATTTTTCTTCAAACCACTGTGGATCGGTCGCGGGTGGGTCGCGGGTTGGTCGCGGGTGGGTCGCGGGGTGGGTCGCGGGTGGGAGTCAGTCTTTTTTTGTTGGCTTCCTGGAGGCTTCTCGTCGCCACGGCTGGCTCCGCTCAGGGAAAAATGGGCCAGGATCGTGTGCGCCGGGCAGCGAGCGGCGAGTGCGCGCCGTTGGGGGGGGGCCCGCCCGGGAGAGGGGGGGGGTCCGAGACGGGGTTAGCGTAGCAATCTCCTCCGAGTCGCCCAGAAGCGGTCTCGGAGGGGGAATGGCAGATCGGAAGATTACCCCCCTGTCGGCGTGATCGGAAGATGACCCGGCAGGATGTGGCGCCGCCCTAGTCCAAGCTGCCCTGAGAGGGGTAGCGTAGCCGATCTGAAGCAAGCGCGCGGACCTCCGAACATTCCCATCTGTCTCCTTCAAGCAGTGCTTGCATTTCTATGGGGGCTAGAGGTTGACACCAGCACCGATATCGGCGGTGTACCTCCACCGAGGGACGAGGATCCTGATCGCGGTGGCGATGTTGATGTTCGGGCTTCCCAGGTGGCCGAAGGACTATCGCCAGCACCAACAGCAAGGATGCTCTTCTCATGGTGGAGGCACCTCCCTGCGTTGGTGTTGGTGTTCATTTCCAGGCCCCCAAATTTAGGGATCATGGCTCGGCGGCGAGCGAGGGGGGGAAATGAGACGGTGAAGGCCTTCTTAGATGGCGGCGGGACTTCTCAGAAACCCTCGCGCCTTCTGAGAAGTTTTCTGTGTCTTCGAGGAATGTTCAGAACACCTCTCAGAAGCCCGGGGGACTTCCGAACCTCCCGAGGAGGCCCGCCCCTTCTCGCCTCCCCCCCCCCTGGCTGGCCGCCTCGTGGCTCCTCTTGCTCACAAAGGTTAGATGGGGCGCCTCGGGGGCGCCTCGCGGGCGCCTCGTGCGGAGGGGGCCTGCCGGGGTGTTGCCGGGCGCCCCCCGCCCGTGCATTTCGCATTTCGCATTTCGCAATCATAACAGCCTCCACGGCGCGCGCGCCGGCGACCCCCGACGCGCGTTCCGCGGACGCTGCGGCTCAGAGCTGCCCGGCGTGAGCAGGTCGGAGTCGTGCAGCCGACGGGGGACAGGAGGTGGTGTCACACACCCCTTCCCCCCCCTGCTGGTACCAGGGCAAGCAGGGGCAGGCCGCCCGCAACTAGCCGCTCCTCCCGCGGACACGGGAGGCGCCATTCGCCGGAGCGACGGGCCGCCTCACTATCTCCACAGGCCTGCCGACGCCCGCTCCCCCCCCACCAGGAAGCCCCGCTTCCCCTGGCCATAAGGCCAGGTGAGGCTGGTGGGCGACCCTGGGGACGACGAGTGGGCGCCCGCAGACACCTCGGAGGGCACACCAGCGGACCAGGCGCTGCGCCAGCGGGCTGGGCACCGGGAGCCAAGCGACCTTACTGCGGGACGCCCGCGGTGAAACTGTGCACGAGGGGAGAGGGAGGGGCGCACGAGAGGGGGAGAGGGCCCCGCGAGCACCGCGGGCAGCCCCAAGCCCAAAAGGCATGGGAACGAACGAAACATGGCCCATCCCGACTGCGAGGTGGAGGGGCGCCTTGCTGCAAGCACAAGAACGCGAGAGCGGGAGGGGGACAAGGACAAGGGGAAAGACAAACACAAAGCAACACGCGGAGGGATCCCCCCTCACCAGAGTAGCCGAGCGGTGCGCATCACGACTGTGAAGCACGGGGAGCGTCAGACCTGGCGGTGCTGTCGGGCGGTCCGAGCGGCAGCGGGATGCCCCGCCACCTACCCCGAGTCAGGAGAAGAGGAGGAAGAGGAGGAAGAGCACGACGAGGAGGAGAAGGAACACGGAGCACACCTGCGAATGGCTCTACCTGCAAAGCCCACGTGTTGGATACGCGTGAGGGAGCACGTTGTGTCGCCGAACAAGAGCTGGAGCAGCAAATCTGGCGCCGGATCCCCTGGAAAACTCCCGGCGTTCCCGGTCGAGCACGGGGCAAGCACTTAGCGCGTGACGCACCGAAACCCTGCGGCTTCCGCAGGCTCTGCACCGGCGCAGGTGCATGGGGTGCTCCTTACCCCCCATGACCGACAGGGGCCACTTGCCCGTCATTCGGGCCACAGCCCAAAGGCGGTAGTGGGACCAGAAGGACGGCCCTGGCTCCCCGGCCAACAAGTCTAGGTCCAGTGGCGATGGGAAGGTGCACAAAGCGGCAAAAGAGCGATTAAAGGGTGCCAAAATTGGCATGGCAGCCTTATGCTGCGCGGTCATACCGCAAGAGAGACGGACGCAGCACCTCGAGCCGGTACGACTTGAGGATTGCTTTCCTAGCGGCGGACGACACACGCGCCTCGTTCAGCAGGGCGGCGGGGAATAAGGGATGCCCCTCGAGGTCCGGCGGGGGCGGGGCCAGGCGCTGGGCCAGAGCGACCACTGCCGACTCCCACGTGGGGGTGGCCAAAGACCGAGCCGCCCGCAGCATGAGGGCACCTGGGTGGTCCCCCGGCAGGACCATGAGCCGTGCTCGCGCCATCAGCGCCTTCTCTAAAAATCTCGTCCCCAGGCGCATTGGCCAGCCACATTGGGCGACGACCACGGCATGGCGAATCGGCGGTCCCTTGTGGCACCCCAAAAGGCGACGGCCCCAAGTCACCTGCAACTTGTTCATGGTTGATTCCGCGCCGGGCACGGCGGCCAGGAGCGGGGCAGCGTACAAAACCACAGATTCAACTCGGGCTGGGACCTGCGCCGCAGCCACTGGGGTGGAGAAGCCCCCAGACTCTGCCGCATGCAACAGCTTGGAGAAGCAGCTATGCCCGACGGCGACGATTTCACGGAGGAGGGGGTCAAACGTCAGGTCGGAATCCACCAAGATTCCCAGGAGGACCTTGCGGTCTACTTCTGGGCAGCCGGCGAGACTGGGGGGGGGCGCACCCAGGACTGGAAGAACGCACGTCTTGGATTTCTCACGGGAGAAAAACGACTTAAAAGTGCGCGCGTACCTACTGCACCCGGATTCGTCCTCAGGAGACAGGACGGCGCGCACCGCCCCTAGAGATGGGCAAGCTACCGTGATGTCGTCGACAAACTGGGCAGGCGGCATGTGCAATTCACCCGCGAGCTCCACCACCGCGGCTCTGTCCGCCAGGGCGGGGACGGCGCTGAGCCGGGCGGCTAACGCGGCTTCGGCGCGCGGCCATGGCGGGGATCTGGTCGCCGCCACCCGTAGCACTTCATGCAACATTGCCGCCGCGGGAAAGGCCCGGTCAGGCATTGCCGCCTCGGCGGCTGGGGGGTTAGCCTCGCCCGCAGCAGTCATAGCTTGTCTAGCCAGGCGCGGGACCGCGGTGGCGCACCCCGGACTGCGGCGGCGATCTCAACGGGCAGCGCTTTCAATTGCGCGTTGAAAATATGGACCGAAAAACGCCTGCCCTGGGCGGCACCGCACCCGAGGGCGAAAACCGGCGACAATAAGTTGTGCAGGCCGACCGCCTGATGGTCTAGTGCCAACACGTCGTCCAGTAACAGCCAGTCCGACCCGCGTACGCCGGCTTCAAAAACGCCGCACAGCACGCCATCCACCGAAGCTACGTCAAACGCCCATTTGTTGTCCGCGACAGCCCACCAAGTTGGCAGGTCTTGCGCGGCCCGCAACTGGGCATTCATAGTGAGAGCGATGACAAACGAAACAGTATCGCCCACCCCCCCCTGCTGGGACGGGCCACAGTAAGCCTCGATGAGAGGTCCATTGCGAGCAATCCATGCCGCGTCTTGGACTGAGGCCATGTCAGTCGTGAGCGAGATTGGCCGCAATGACTTGATCTTCCGCACAGTCGCCGGCCCTGACTTGCGGATGGGGGCGAAATTGCGAAGAGACCATGGACGGGCCGTTACGCACAGCGCGCGACCCAGATTGAGTAGCGCCCGCGTCAGCCGGAAGCCCTCCTCAACCTGGACCCGCAAGGCTGCGTTGCACAAGTGAACCGTGCGCTTGCCTGGCTTGAGCAGGGAAAGCGCCGCTTCGACCTCATGGTCGGCGCATGGTCGTTCCGGATGCAGGGGCCCCGCCTCCGCCCCCGAGCGGCGGATGGCGGTGACCGCCTGCGCAAGGCTGTCCTTGGCCTCCGGGCACTGCGGGAAATCATTGTGGGCCCTCAAATACAAATCGTCACGGATCGCATCGATCATGCCGCTAGTGGACAAAGCGTGCCCAGTGATGGAATCCACTAGCTGGATGTCGAACTTCGCAGTTGACTTGAAAAATCCCGATAAGAAGCGCTCGGCGGCGCCAGCGCTGGTTTCGCGGAGGTCCAGGTAGCGGTGGGCAGCTTTGCGTCTCTCCTGCCACGCCGCCGCCGATGCGGCTTCCCGGAAGGCCTCGTGGGGCGGGTAAGCCGAGGGGTCAAGCGGGGGGCGCCGCGACGTGTCTCTGCTCCTACTGGCGACGCCCGTCGTGCGGGTGGCCGAAGAGGCATGCCCCACCATTGCATAAATGGTATCGCGCGTCCAGGCGGCTACATTGAGGACGCCCTGGCGCTGGAGGCGGGTGGCCCCGCCTCCGTGCCAGGGTGGCCGGAGCCACTGACTAGTGCCTACCGTTTCAATAGCAGTGGCGAGCGCCTGTAGCGTGCTGGCCACTTCCCGAAGGCCAGTCTCCCACTCCTCGCCCGAAGTCCAGGCGACGCGCCCGAACCCCGCCGAATTCTGCGCGGTTACCCGGCAAGGCACGTCAATCAGCACGAGTCTGTGGTCAGAAAGCCCCGCAGATTCATCCACGACGTGCGCGGGCAGCGGGTCGTGGCGGGAGCCCAAAAACAAATCAATACATGTGCCTGAAACGTGCGTGGGCGATGGCGGGCTAAAGGCGCGCAACCCTGCAGAGTCCAACCGCTCCTGGATCAGTTTATCCTTGGAGCGTTGGTGGCAATGCAGGCACCGGCATCCGGCGCCGTGGGAGACAACGTAATCCAGGTGGAGGTTCCCATCACTTCCCAAGAGGAGCCGCGCGCGAGGAAACTTAGCGCGCAAAGCGCCCGCGTGGGCGACGATGGACCCCCAAGTGTCCAACTCACCACCGCGAACGGGATACATGGCGCAAATTATACAAGTGGGGGCATCGACCTGCCCATCAGACCACAGCTCGTACCACTGCTCCCTGGAGGACGAAAAATCATGGATGGGGCGAATGGCGTGCTCTAGCTCCGGCCTGACAAAAATCCCGACAGTGTCCCATGCAGCGGATTCGGGTCCGAGCCATAGGAATGGGAAGCCTTTTGGCAACAGGGCTCCTGCGGGGAAGCGCGACCCCGGCAAGATGCAAAGGTCTACGCCCCTGTCGCCCAGGGCATGGGCGACGGCCTCCAGCCGCCACTCCAATATTAGATCGCTGCCCAAATGAAGGAAGCCGGAACGTCCAGGGTTGAGAACGGCCAAAGTCAGGTGTGAGCGTGCGGAGTCATCCAGCAACGGCGGCACTGCACAGCGGCCTGGCTCTCCATATTGAAAAATCCCCCCTACAAAAGGTGACGCCACGGCCGTGGACTTTGCCGCCTTAGTGGTCAACGCTGGCACCACCTCCCGTCGAACGAGCGTGCTGACGGCAGTGCAGAGCGCCCATGCGGGATCTGCCACCGCTCCCAGATGCTGGCGAATCCCAGGGACAGGGTGGGCGCCATGTCTGCTAATGCTATCGCGTCCCTGAGGGCCGCGGCGGTCTCCGTCCGTCTCTTAGTCTGTGACGCCCACCGAAGCACCTTCATGCGCTGCGGCTCCAGGGCGGTCGCCGCCGCTTCCGCGTGCCGACCGGATAAGTCCATTATCGTCGTCCCCCCAGGGAGCGCCCTAATGGTTTGAGCCGCTGCGTGAAGGCGGGCGCGATAATATTCGAAAAAGTTCCCCCATTGCTAACGCCGTGGGCGGCAGCGATGGCAACGACGACGACGACGACGACGCACGACGGTGGCGGCAACAAAAGCGCTACACAAGTGGAGTGGGACGACTTACAACGAAGGCATGTCACACACAGCCACGCGAGGCGCATCACGACTGCGAAGCAGATCGATCGCCCGCAGCACAACTTCGAGGCAGAAACAAAGCAATAATGCGAAGCAGGAGGCGCATCACGACTGCGAAGCAGGACCGGACCGCTACCCGGGCCAATGAAATCCCCAATGGACTGACGTGCTCAAGCGCGTGCTTCATGACCTCTGCTACATTTCGGGCGTGCCGGCCCATCCGCCATCGATGCGGCCGTCTGTGTAGCTGTTGGCAACGCGACAACCAGACACCGATACGGCGCGCCACGCTGCAACTTGTGCACCGCACGCGATCGGGATAGCTATGTCTCAGCCGGCTGGGGGAGTGCGCCGGCGGAGGAAGAGGAAAAGGAGACGAGGGGAAGCAGGGGGGGGCGCGAGAGGGCGGGCAGGGGGGAACGGGGACGGGGAGGGCAAGGGAGAGGGAGGGAAGAGAGGAAACGACAGGGGGGGTGAAACCGCGGGTAAGACACCAACTGGACACCCTCCTTTCAGGGAGACGCCGTGCCGCAGGAGTTTCCAAGCATGGTGGGACAATCGCTATACATGTGAAGCGGGCAATTCCTAGAATCCGATCCTCGCGGGGCGCACTACAAAAGTAAGGCAGGACACTCAAGCTCGATGACAAGTCACACAGCCACGCGAGGCGCATCACGACTGCGAAGCAGGTCAGCCACCGGCCGCGCAATTTGGAGGCGGACGCAAAGCAAGAATGCGAAGCAGGAGGCGCATCACGAGTGTGAAGCAGGTCAATCACCCGCAACACGGGTGTGAAGCAGAAGCAAAGCCAAAATGCAAAGCAAGAGTGCGAAGCAGGGTCAACATACAACATTCCCCTGTGCGATACACGCACCCCGCCCGCATCACGACTGTGAAGCACGACCAACAAGGAAGCGGCAAAGCAGTGACGCAGGCACGCGGCTCACGAACACACAGTGCAGCGATCTGCGCAGCCCGTCCGCATCACGACTGCGAAGCACGCGCAGTGAGATCCCCCATGGCCACGCCACGATCGTGCAGCACAAACCGGAGAGTGAATGCAAGCAGTTGGGTATCAGCGGATCAGAGAGAAGCCTCGCCTGTTTTGGGGCTTTTTCCTAATGGTTCGCGCACCCAGGCCGTCACCCCCAGGATGCGCCGCAAGGTAAAAGATGGGTTCAAAAGCCGCGCGGCCCTTCCGCGACGGTACACGATGGAAAAGCGGCAAAGAAAAGAGCGGTGGGAAGAGACGAGCCGCTACGGCCCCCGCGGCGGTGCGTCGGGCTGGGCACCCGCGCCCGCGGCCGACGCCGCAACGCACTACGCAGCGCGCCTACTCAAGCAAATCGCTGGGTTTAAATTTGACCCGCGCCGGCGCGCCCGGCCCAAGTGGCGGCACAGGCGCCGCCTCCGACTTGACGTCAATGGGGTCGCCAAGGAACAAAAGCAGTTCTTCAAGGCGCGTCTCGAACGCCCCGCGCCTGCCTTTGGCGACAATTTTCCTAAGCCTCTTGCTCTCGATCTGTACAGTGAGCTTCGTCGTTGGCGACACTTTCCAAGTAATCTCCACGCCAGGCTGGTTGGTGCACCCCAGCGGGACCGCGAACGGAGCGGGGACGAGGGCGGGCTTGCCCTTTTCGGGGGCAACCGTAATTTCTACGCCCATGGCCTGTACAAGCTTGTACAAATCCGCCTGGGAATGGCATTTCGCACTAAACACCGCGGCCATGGAGACGCGCCCGTCCGTGGAGTCTCCAACTAACTCACGGACGCGGTTGTGCCATGCGCCCACCGCGGCGTTCAGTTCAGACCTATGCTGGAAACGGCGGAGCGCCATGACCTCGGCTTTTGCCTGGGCCGCCTGCTCTGCGGTGGGGGCGGCCTGGGACGAGGGAGGGGCCGGCTGGCCCGCGGAAACCGCAGGAGTAGGTGGGCGCACGCCTCCCGACCTGTTGAAAGCAAGCTGCAACGGGGTGGGCGCTCGCGGGCGCCTCGTGGGCGCCGTTCGCGCTGGGCGGGGCGGGCGTGCCGAGGTGCTGCCTGCGGCCCGCCCGGTGGTCGCCTCGTGCGCGCCTGCTGCGCTGGGCGGCCGCTCCTCCTCCTCCTCCTCCTCCTCCTCCTCCTCCTCCTCCTCCTCCTCCTCCTCCTCCTCCTCCTCCTCCTCCTCCTCCTCCTCCTCCTCCTCCTCCTCTCCTCCTCTCTCTCCTCTCTTCGCTCTCCTCCCCTCCTCCTCCTCCTCCTCCTACTCCTCCTCCTCCTCCTCCTCCTCAGACTGCACTGCTTGGTTTCCCCCCCCCTCCCCCTTCCCTCCCCCTCCGCCTCCGCCCCCCTCCCCCTCCCCCTCCCCCTCCGCCTCCGCCTCCGCCTCCGCCTCCGCCTCCCCCCCCCCCCTCCCCTGCCCCTGCCCCTGCCCTGCCCCCCCTCCCCCTTCCCCTTCCCCCTCCCCCTCCCCCTCCTCCTCCTCCTCCTCCTCCTCCTCCTCCTCCTCCTCCTCCTCCTCCTTTTTCCTCCTCTCCTCCTCCTCCTCCTCCTCCTCCTCCTCCTCCTCCTCCTCCTCCTCCTCCTCTCCTCCTCTCTCCTCCTCTCTTCTCCTCTCTCCTCCTCCTCCTTCTCCTCCTCCTCCTCAGACTGCACTGCTTGGCTTCCTCAACGCAGCTTGCACCACACAGCTCTCGCCACACAGCCTAAAACACACGTGCTTGCACCGCGCAGCTTTCGCCGCATGGCACGCGCCACGGTTCCTGCACCGCGCAGCGTGCACTAGCTGAGACCACGCATGGTATAGCACACTTTGCACCACATGTCTTGCACCGCGTAGCTTGTACCACCCATCTGGCGCCACATGGCTTACACCAGGTAGCTTGCACCAGATAGCTCAAACATCCACTGTGCAATACGTTACTGTTTCGGAGTCACGTCGGCCCACAATTCTAGTGCTTCCTCTTTTAGTCAGAAGCCACGACTGGAGATGTTTGGCAATGCGTGGCTTCTGGGGAGCCTGGACCAGTCCCAGGACCGTCGAGGATCAGCTCAGGATGAAAGGCGCCCCCCCGGAAAATGAAGAGATATTCTGGGGTCCATGTTGTGAACAGCAATGAACGTTGGAGCGAGGGATGATGATCTCTCGCTCACCCGCCTCCTGCAGAGCGGCGCTGGATACTGTCAACCCGCATAGTAAGGATGGGCAACCTTCCCAAGGGTGCCCGTGCAGCCTTGCCTCCTCGTTCCATCCTTGATCACTTGCGTTGGCCGCGCCCCGCTCGAAAAGCTTCGAAATGGGCGTCCAAATAGCTTGCATCCTTATCGCGCATCCTTATTATATGCGTTGACTGTTAGCTGTTCTCGGATGACTGCTTCCCCTGGGCGTGCAGGTGGTCGAGACCGTGCCGCCTGATGGTAACGAAAGGGTCATCTCGGCGTCACCCCAACAAACTAGTACTGCATGCGCGTCCTACCCCCAGCGGCGACGCGCGCACAGAGAAATCGTATAGTATATGCGTCGTGGCGGGAACTTTCTGGTCACACCGCTCGGGAAACGATGTACACTACAAGATGGGTATGCTGTATGTTCGGGTCGGACGCCTCCAAGAAGGACATGTGGTACCAGTATGTCTTTGCGCGTCCCATCATCCCGTGGCCCCTCAGGTTCGGCCTGGACCTCTCCCAGGACGTGCTCTGGCCAGGACCTTGACGCGAAACCTGCCGCGGCAGCGAAGGCGCCTCTGGGAGCCAGGAAGGCCCATCGCCCCTCGAAAAGAAGGAGGAGGTGGAGGAGGACGAGGACGGCCACGAGGGGGGAGAGGAAGAGGACGACGACGACGACTGCCCTCATCTGTACGGCTTTGGAAGGAGGAGGAAAAGAAGGAGGAGGAGGAGGGGGAGTTGGAGGACGAGCAGGAGGAAGAGGAGGAGGACGAGGATGAGGAGGAGGAGGAGGAGGAGGAGGAGGAGGAGGAGGAGGAGGAGGAGGAGTGGAGGAGGAGGAGGAGGAGGAGGAAACGGGGGATGATAAGATGAAGGATGAGATTGAGGACGAGCAGGAGCAGGTGGACCAGGAGGAGGACGAGGTGGATGTGGACGAGGACGAGGGCGAGGAGGAGGAGGAGGAGGAGGACGAGGAGGAGAACAAGGAGGAGGAGGAGAATAGGGAGGAGGATGAGGACGAGGCGCAGGAGCAGGAGGAGGTGGAGGACGAGGAGAAGGACGACGACATCGACGTGGACAGTGACGACCCTGGCGGCGGCCGCGCGCTGGTGGGAGGCGTCGCCCCCCTGCTTGGCAACGCCAGCCACGGCCCGCTCGCCCGGAATGACGGCGAGGGCTTGGAGCCGGTGCCTTGCGAGCTGGCCCGCCCCGAGACGACGATCACGACGACCGCCGCCGCCGCCGTTGCCGACGTCGTCGCAGGGCGGAGTATGGGCTTCGGCTTCTCGCCGCTCTGGGCGTCTGGGAGGTCTCTCCATCGACACGGCTGGATGCACCTGGAGAAGCTTGTCGGAACGCACGCGAGGAGAGGTCCAAAGGTGATGGTTGACCCCCCTTGCCGTCGACCAGGTCGTGGTGGTGGTGGTAGTCGTCGTCGACGATCGAGGGTCGAGGTTTTTGGACTATTTTTTGTTCGCCTCCAGGACCTGCAGGAGGGGCCTTGTCGCCACGGCTGGATCCGCCTCGCAGTTTAGGACAGAGCGCATCCCAGGATAGGTCTCTGGGAATCTGTTTGACCCCCCTCGTCGTTGCGTTATCGCCACCGCCGTCGCCGTCGTCGTGGTGATCGCCGTGATGGCGTGGTCAAAACTTATAGTCGTCGTGGGCGTCGTGTCATAGTGGTGTTAAACTTCGTAGTCATGGTCGCCTGAATTTCCTCCTCCTCGGATCGAGGGGGAGAAAGAGGCAGCGTCAGATCAGGCAGAATTGGTATCCAGCTGGCCAGCACCAGCCTCTCACTGCAAGACCGTCCTCGGATGCTGACGCGCTGAAAGACCTCAGCCCTGCGTGCTTCGAGATGCGTTGGAGCGCTCCCCCCCCGGCAGGTCCTGCGGTGCCTCCGCGCCTGGCCGGAGCGCAAGCGCGTGTACCTGCTGCGGCACGGGCAGTCGGGCTGGAACAAGGCGCCCGCCCGCCTGCCCGGCCACCCGGGCCCACCGCCTCCAGCGTTGAGCCGGGCCCGTCCCTCTGCAGGGGGGATATTCTAGACGCTTCGCGTATCCCCACCAGCTCTCCCTGGATGCACCCTTGCATGCCCGTTCTGGGGCTGTCTCAGGCTCCCTGGACTGCACGTCGGCTCTGCCGCCCTGGGCGCTGCCCCCCCCCCCCGCCGCCTGATCCGCGGCCCCCGCGCGCGCTCGGCAATTTAGTCGCGGCCGTAGCCCGCCCGCGACCTCCCGCCGCTGGCGCTTCCGCCTGCGGCTGAAAGAAAATAGTAATAATAATAATAATAATAATAATTATATTAATATTAATGATGATGATGATAATAATAATAATAATAAAGTATCCCCACCAGCCTGGCGCTTGGTCACATAGTTGTTCGGTGCACGTCCATTCCCGAGCGACCTCGCGTTCTCACAGAGTGGCTACCTGTGTACCCCTGCTGCGTCCAGACTAGCTCGCTGGTCCTCTGAACGCAGGCGCATCGCTCAGCAGTGGTCGGGTCTCGCCTTGCCTGTTCGGCCTTAGGCTTCCCCTGGCGTGGATGCGTTTTCTGATACTGCGACGGTTCGCTGGCGCTGTCAGAATACCCCTCCTGCTGGACGACGTCACCAGTTTCAGTCTGCTCATACCCGTCAGACTCCCTGGACTGACTTTCTCGCACGGAGATCGTTCCCTACCTCGCGGTTGTCTCGGCACGATCACGACTGGGACCTTAGACTCCCTGGGTTGCAGCTTGCACGACCGCCTCAGGTGACTGACCTCTCAGACTCCCTGGGATTGCACGACCGCCTGGCCTCTCAGGCGCCCTGGGTTGCCGCTGCCTCGCCGCCTGATCCGCGGCTCCCGCGCGCGCCCGGGAATTTAGTCGCGGCCGCAGCCCGACCGTGACTGCTCGCCGCCGGCGCTTCCGCCTGCGGCTGGAAAAAAAAAACAACAACAAAAAAAAAACAACAAACAAAAAACAGAAACGACGCCCACGCGAGTAGAGGGTCGTCCTGAGGGGCTTTTCGGCGTCTTGGGTGCCTCGGGGGGGCCTCTTTGGGCCGTTTGGGATCCTCTTGGGGGCCTCCTGGGGGCCTCTTGGGGCCATCTTGGGGACATCTTGGGGCCTCTTGGTGCCTCCTGGGCGCTTCCTGGGGCCATCTTGGAGGAAATCGATCAAAGAAGAGGGGAGCTTCAATTAGTGCTGCCCCCTCTGGGGGCCAAAATGGGGCCAAAACCATAGTAAAATCAATGATTTGGGTTTCCTCGGCGAGGCCGTTTTGGACGCTCTGACCGCTCCCCGCCCCCCCTGTCCAGGTCAGTGGGGAGGGGGTAGGGGGAGGGGTAAACCCCTCCCCGAAGGGGAAGAAGGAGGGGTGGAAGAGGAAACGCTGTAAACCACCGACGCCCAGAGGGCTGGTGGGATTCAAAAATACTCAAACAAATCGTATTGGGATTTTTTTGACCATCTTCGAGCATTCTTAGTGCATTGTTGGTGTATTTTTCATTTTTCGTCGAAAATCCCCGCGTAGGGGGACACGCCCGACCTAATTCCAGCGCGCGCAGGGGGCGGCCTGGCGCTCGATCCGCGTTGGCAAGGCTTGGGGTGCCGGAGGCCAGCGAGGGCCACGCTGCCTCCCCGAGCTGGAGAATTTCGAGGCGAGCGGGACGCCGCAAGACAGGGGGACCACACACCCAGGAGGCCCTCTCTGGCTCTTGCCTCTGGTGGCGGTGGCAGCCTCGTCGGTCCCTGCCCCCAGGGGTTGCGCACGGGCAGGCCCCCTGAGGTGGCCTCCGCAAGGGCCGGGAGGCCTCCAGGGTGCAGTCCACAGAGCAGCCCCCGCACCCCCCGCGTCGCCCCCCGTGGCGCCCCCTGGGGCGCTCCGCGCACCGAGGCGGGGCGGTCGAGGGAGCCCCGGGCTGCCCCGGGGGCATGCCGTGGCTCGGAGCTCGGGTCCACCTCGGGGAGGGCTGCGTGAGCCCAAGCCCGTGCCCTGCAGCTTGGTCCATCATGCTGCAGCTTCGCGCCGTGTCGACGCGGCGGCGGCCTCGCCGCGAGCGGTCAAAAGGTTGCACGCCGCCAGTGGCCCAGAGCCCGCCAACATGGAACGATCTGGCGGTGGGATGGCCGCCTTATCGTTCACGGTTGAACGATCCGTGCGGTGTCGGGGCGCCTTTTCGTGCCAAGGGCGCCCTCCACCGTCCCGCCCTGCGCGGATCTCGCGGCGCGCCGACGAGGCGGAGCTGAGCCAGCGCTGCGGGGGGGCGGACCCCTGGCGGGCAGCAGCCAGGACGTCGGCGTTCGAGGAGGCGGCAGCGTGGATCGAGGCCCGCGGATGGGCGGCGGGCCCCGCGTCCATGCCAGCTCGGCGCGCTCCGTCGCTGGTCGCCGAGGCTTCGGGGGGGTTTACGTTCTCCGATCCGCGGATGTGGCGCCTCGCGCCGGATCCGCCGATCCCCAATCTCGGGGTTGGACAGAACCCCCAACAGTGACACGTCGATTAGTGAATTGTCCGTTTTCGGTTCTCGAGAGGGCGCCGCGGCCGTTATTTTCCAGGCTTGCGCCCGCCAGGTTTGGGCCTTCGGTCGTTTTCACTAAACCACGTTTTGCTAAAGGGAGGTCTGTCCATCCCCGACAATCCATGTTGATTGGCGTGTGCCCGAGGCGTTGCTCTCGGGCACCTCTTCGCTGCGTCCCGTGGCCTGCGGGGGCCCCAGCGTCCACTTGGCAGAGGGGCCAGAGTTGCCCGCAGGCGAGGACAGCACACGCCATCCCCAGACACGACCCCCACTCCCGACCTGGTAATCCAGGGGGTCCGGGCTGGGGGGGGGAGACACGGTGATTTCCACACCAACATGCCACCCCCAGCCCCAGCCATACCTCCGTGGATCCCCAGGTCGGGAGTGAGGGTCCTGGCCGGGGGTGGGGGTGGTTATGCTGTCCTGAGTTGGTCCCCTGCCTCGCCCTCACATTCACTATTCGTTTTCCGTTGGAGCGCATCCGGCATGACAGCGCCACCAGCCCCTCGGAGGCACGGGTGGACGCGGGCGGGTCGCGGCTCTCTCTCCTCGCGAGCCCGTTCTGCAGACGGAGGGGAGGTGCGAGCCAATTGTGGAGTCTGGTAGACACAAGGAGCAGGGTGCGCGAAGATGATCGCGCATGGCGTCCTGAGACAGGGAGCTGCTCCTTCGCTGGGGGGGCGGGGATGGCCGCGCCTTCGAGCATCGCGCGGCGCGGAGCGGGAGGTTATGGTGACCTGCGATGGGCGGGCCCACTCCATCCCTCCATCCATTACGCCTTGCTTCTTCCTCCTCCTCCTCTTCATCCTCATCCGTCCTCCTTCTCCTCCCCCCACCGCCTCCTCCCTCCTCCTCCCTCCTCCATCCGTCCGTCCGTCCGTCCCTCCCTCCTCTCCCTCCACCTCCTGCCCCTCCTATCCCCCCCCCCTCCTTCTGCTACGATCCCGGCCGCCCCCCCCCCGTAAGGTTGATAAAGCCGTGCGTGTGTGTATGCAACGTCGTTTTTCTGTCTCGTGTTTTCATTATCTCTCTTTATTGTCCTTGTTCCCTCTCTATCTCTCTCGCTGTCTCTCTCTCCCTCTCTCTCTCTCTCTCTTTTTCTCTCATCATCCGCTGGCAAAGGGAGTCCTTGTGTTACGAATTTGAAAAGGATTTTTTTGCGGTGGTTTACAATTTGATTCCTTTCGTGGCGGGTTCCAAAAGAATTCCTTGTGTGGCGGACTACACATTCCTTTGAAGGGCGGATGACAATGTGATTCCTTGCGTGGTGGATAACATAAGGATTTCTTCTGTTGGGGGTTACACATAGATTCCTTGTGTGGCGGATTACGACAGATTTCCTTTTTGTGGAAAGCTACTGTGGAGGAAGCCAGGAGGGAACAACACATTCAAACATGAAGATCTAGGACAACTGTAAAAAGTGTTTTGATGTTCGTGCTCTTGGTGCCGGAAATACCAAACAACTGTGAAAGCACTACGTTTTCAGCATCCAGAGCTCCAACACGCTGCGTTTTATGATGTTGTTTATTTCCCGATGCCGAAATCATTGTAAAATCAAGCGTTTTCAGAATTCGTGGACATTTTTAAAGAAACGTCAAAAAAACAACACTGTGTGTTTACAGTGTTTTTTTGATGGTGACGCCAAACAGCGATCAGCTAAAAACATGAATTACACCATGCTTCGCTCCAGAATAACCCCCCCAAAAAAAAACGCTGTAAAACACGCATTGCGCGGGATCAGAACAGTCCGACGCAAACCTACCTGAGGGAGATCATCGCCGCGATGCAGTTCACCAACATTCAGCGCGTGGACGGTGGAGGCGCTCCTAGCGGTGGAGTGGCCATGCCTGCACCTGTTCTCAACGCCATGAAGCACGCCCGCCTGGACGACACGATCCCAGTTGCCGATCGGTGGTACGACGAGACCGGAGTCCGGGGTGCGGTTCGTGACGACGTCCATTCTTTCAAGCTGGTGCCAAGTGTGGCCGCCGCCACCAAGACCGACTTGGAGGCCGGAGTCCACGCCCCTACCACACGCCAGTACGCCGTCACCGTGAAGATTCCAGCCGAATGCGCTGCGGACTGGGGTGTGGCGGACGCCGCGAACAAGGCGCTGATCGACCAGCGGGTCAAATCAGTTTCCACGGCCCTTGCATCTCACCGCGAGGCGATCAAGAAGAAATCAGACGAGTTGGCCGCCTCGTCGAGGTTCACGAAGGTGGCGCGCAGGTCGTAGGAATGTCTCAGCGCACGCGCAGCTACGGTGGCAGCGGAGAAGGCTGCACTCGCCTCGACGCAGCCCAGCCAGTCGCACCCGTCATCCATCACATCACATGGGACATCTAACATCACAGTGTCTACATCAACCTCTTGTGTCATCAACACGTTTCTTGGTGTCTGTGACTGGCCCTAATTGCTTTTAGGGACGGAATTTTTGGCCGTCTGTGGTGCTAGTCGTTGAGTGTCTCGCCTCGAGGTTAGTGCTGCGAATTGCACGAACAGTGCTTACCTGTGCGAGTGCGGCTCGTTTTTCCAGCATGCCGGTCCCGTCTCAGTGCTAGTCGCCGTCTTTGGCATTTTACGGGTTCGCTGAATGAGGGCATTCGGCGCCGGCTCATCGGACATTCTCGTTCCCACGCGCTCCTCCGGGTGCGTTTAGCATGCCGCGCCTACAAAAGGAATTCTTTTGTATTCCGCGACAAAAGGAATCAATTTGTAATCCACCAGGGAAGGAATCAACTTCTAGTTCGCCCTACAATGGAACATGTTTTAACCCGCAAAAGAAATCCTTTCGTGATCAACTACGGAGGGGATCCATGTGCAAGTTGCCACAACAAAATCAATGTATTCCCCGCCACATGAAGAATCGATGTGTAACCTGCCACAAAAGCAATCCATGTGTAGTCTGCCCAAAAAAATGATATTTGTTTCCGCCACAGAAGGAATCCGTTCGTAATGCGCCACAGAAGGAATCCGTTCGTAACCCGCCACACAATGAATACTTTTGTAATCTGCTACAAAAGAAATTCTTTTGTAAATCGCCACCAAAAGGGATCAATGTGTACTCCGCCACAAAAGGAATCAACTTATATCTTGCCTGAAATTAGATATTATATACACCGCCGCAAAGGGAATCCCTTTGCAATCGACTACATTAGCCATGCATGTTACAGAAGAAATCAATTTGTATCCCGCCACAAAAGGGATCAATGTGCAACCCGCCGAAACAGCAATCAAATTGTAATCCGCCGCGCAAGGAATCAACCTGTAATCTGTCATCCACCACAAAAAGAATCCCTTTTCGTAATACACCGTACATGGAATCCAATTGTAATTGGCCACAGGGAATCACTTTGTACTCCGCCGCAAAAAGAATTCGGAATCCGACACAAAAAAGCAGTTCTTTTTTGCCATGCTAGGAAACACTTTATAACGCGCCGCGCCACAAAAGGAATCTTTTTTGTAATCAGCTACGCCCAATCTGCCACATAACAAGCAATGTGTACTCTGCCACAAAAGGAATCAACTCGTAATCCGCCACAAAAGCAATCAACTTGCAGTTCGCCATTAAAAATTTTTGCATTATCCGCAACAGAAGGAATCCTTTCTGTAATCCGCCACTGAAGGGTTTTTTCTCCGCCACAAAATGATTTTCTGGTAACCCGCCGAGAAGGAATCAATGTGTAATCCGCCACGAGAGGAATCAATGTGTAGCCCGCTGCACATGGAATCAATTTGTATTCCCCCACACACAAGGATGTCAATTATAATCCCAAAAATATGGAATCCCTGTGTAATGCGCCACAAAAGAATCCCTTTGTGATCTGACACAAATGAAATTCTGTTGTAAGGAGTCACAAAAAGAATGAATGTGTAATCCGTCACTAATGGAGTGCCCGTGGGATCCGCCACAATACGAATCCTTTGGCAATGCTTGGAGGACAGCGTTGTGAGAAGTTCCGGAGCTGTGGAAAACATGGTCAGGAGGTCAAGCGGGAGCGGGAAGAGGATGGATGTGGGAGAGGTGAGGAGGAGAGAGGAGGAGGAAGGGGAGGAG